CTTTTGGGATCTCCCACAAGACTGGGATTGGATGTTACATGCAGGGAGATGAGATTTTGGGGAACCCCTAAATGCCCTTCCTCATAAAAAGAAGTGGGGTTTTCTAGCTGGACAAGGACAGCCTGGCTCCGAGGCCGTGCAGGATGCGGCCTGCATGTGTAAATTGTTTCCAAATGGAAACAATTATTCTTTCAAGAATTAAAAAATAATCACGTCTCATCAACGTTGCTGTTTAGTGCTTGTAAGAAAATTGTACAAGCTGTTTGGTTTTGGATTTTTTTTTTAAATGGTGCAAAAAACTATCATCTGGAAAAGTGGGCATCAGGGAAAAGTGGGTTTTCAGTTTGCATGTAGTCATGGAGCAAACAGGAATTTGTGTTAGACAATACTGAAATAGCTTTTTTCAAACAAAAAGAAAATCGTTAGCAAAGGTTTGTCGATAATCATGTTCATTGCTTAAAAAATAGTATTTTAACTATTGTGATATAAATGGTCTTAATGCTTAAACATGACAGCTCTTGGTAGGAATGTTTCCAATGTTTTGTCATGCTGCTGGCTGATATGATTTTGGGGTCTCGCACCAGGGACCCAGAAGTCAGGGCTGCTGAAGGAGCAACCTCCTGCCCAGGATTCCTCCAGGCTCACAGCAGTGAGCGGTGTGTGCTTGGGGTAGTTCCTCATATGACCATAAATTAAATAATGTATTTAAACACAATAATTGAAATGCATTAGAAAGGACAAATGATTAGTACAGCAGCAGTGGTATTGTATGGAGTAGAAACATGTTATTTTTTAAGGGCTTCTGATTCTTCTGCACTGAGGACTTCAGGGAGGGAAAAGGAGTAGCAGTAACGGGGGATGAGGTGACATCTCAGAGCAAATCTCTTGCACTCAGTCTATTCACAGTTAGTGCCAGTGATTCCCAGCTGCTATTTAGAGGACTCACAGTTGATTTCTTGTTTCTCATTCCCTTTTCTCCCCTTTCGCTTCAGCTGGGAAGCTGGGAGCAGCCACAGCAACCTGGCTGCCTTCCTCCACTTTCCTTGTGACGGGCCTGGCAGGGTGTGCTTGGCCACAGCTTTTGCCAGAGCTTTCTTCTCACACAAAAATGTGCTGAGGAACCACATGGCCAGCAGACATTGTCCTGCCTGTGAGGATTTACAGCGTGGCCTATAGGAAAGGATGGTCCCTGTTCCCAGCCTGTGCTGCAGATGACCCAGGGCCTTTTGCAGGGATACTAAAATATTGTCATGTTCTTTTGTTCCTTGAAATATAATATTCTACCCTTTTTTGAAACCACAGAGACAGAGACGGAAAGGCAGCCCTTTGAATTTGTCAAAATTTGACTGCAGGGTTCCTTCCGACCCCTGTGCTAATTTTTATCAGAGCAGGAAACATTAAAAATAACCATAAGAGAAGATTTCCCAACTCAGAAGGATTGTCCTCTTAATAATCTCTGGCTTTGTTTTTACTAGATATTTCCCCCCCTTAAAATTCCTGTAATGCTTTAAGAGCAGGTCCATCCCTGCCAGCAGCAGTGAGGACACTGGAGGGGGATGGCAGAGGGCCAAGCTGGCACCTCGGCTTGCTCTGAGCCAGAGGTGAGTGATGTACGTGGGAAATGCTTGTTATTTATTGGAAGAGCTTTTGCATGTGAACCAGAGCTTGCAAGCTCCACATCTTCCCTTTTGGGTGAGCTCAAAACTGTTCTCAAGCCTTCAGCTGACCTCAGCAATGGGTGGATCTCCTTTTTGCAATGAGAGGTGATATTTTGGTGCTCTATCTCAAGACTTCTGATCTTCTACTGTGAAGCAAAATAAAAAATACATCAGAATTTGTTTTAAAATGCATCTGAATGTGGTCCCTTACTCTGAAATTGAAATGCTGTGTGGCAAAACCAAGGCATGCATTAAGACTACATGATATAGTAACAAGCCCTGCTCAAGCTCCACCATCTTATCTGACCCATGTCTGCATTCTCAGGGTCAAGGTATAATTGGTATCATTAAATAATAGATCATCAATGTATACCACAAAGTATATTAAATTTATAAATAATGTCCAGCTGATGGCAAAGGGAGAGTACCATTAGATCACTGTGGATCATTATTCCTACAGGAACACCTGTGCCTATGTTACTCTTCCTGAGGGGTGAAACCAAGACACGTAATTCCAATTATCCCTCACCTCTGCTCCGTCACCAGCTGTCCCCACTAACCCAGCTCCTCCTGCTCCAGCTGCCTGACGGTTCCAGACACATGTTGCAGATGTATTCTCTTTGCAAAACTGGCAGCAACAATTTTTCTTTTCAAATGGGGAAGGGTGTCCCACAGAGCTGGTTTGGCCAGGCTGGTCCTGGAACACAGCTGGTCCTCAGTGCGGTCAGAAAATGAGATGTAAGTGGGTTACCAGCTGGGAAGGGCCTCTAGGGTGATCTGGGACCCCAACAGTGTGGGTCCTTGAAGCACCCATGGTTGACAGGTTTTGTCCCACTTAGGCAGTGCAGTGATGGTTTTGGTCAGAACTGTGTTTTGGGGGAAATTGATTGACTTTTCCCTCTATATTTTTTTAAAACATTGGGTTTGTCCTAGGCACAAAGTTCGTCCCCTCTTGATGTAGTGAGTAATGAGTTGTCTGAATTGTGATCACTGTGTGTGATTTAGAGCAAAGGACTGTGATCAAGAGTGAGTGAAGGCACAAGTGAAATTGCTCCCTGGGCAAAAAGTAGAGCCTAAAGCCACTGAGATGCTTTCTATTGCTTGGGATGTCCAAGCAGAAAACTTCTTTTTCATACACTTTTCCTGGTTGTTTAAGCTGCAGTAATTTTTGTCCCCTCAAAGTAAAAACTTCTATAGAGATTGGTTTGAAGTGGGGAAATAGAGGGTTACTTGTTGTTTTCCTGTTCCTTGTTTATCAAATTTATTAGAGATTGCTTCATCTTTAATTAAAATGACATGGAGGAGGATTCAAATAAAAGACAATAGCAGTCTCAACACATGAGCACTCCTGAGATTTGTAGGCAGTCAAGTCAGGCAGCCCAGATTTCAGATGTTCTCTCTGCTATACCCATGAAATCTCCTGGCTGCTCTTGGGAACCCTGCCTTGCTCACACAGACATTTGGCTGGGCAGGTAGAGCAGAGTCAATTAAATCTCCATCCCAGACTAGCAAGGCATTTAAAAGTCTGTGTTAGTCTTGTCCATTCAGTGCTGTGGCTGGCCAAGAGCCCCTTTGGAACCCTGATGGATATTGTTTCTCACAGGCATTACATGCTTTCCCTCAAATATCTGAATAGGCCATTGTTTTTTGCTTCTGGATGTCTCTTTGTGGACTGATACAAGAATAGCTAAAAGCTGAAGATCTGGCATTTTATATTTACAAAAATAATAATTCTGGGACTTCTACTCCTCTGAGAAGTTGAATGTGCTGCCAGTTCTCTGCTCAGATCCCATGTCTGATCCTCTGGAAGTCAGGGAGTTGCATCAGGAGCTTCAGATGAATCATCTCAAACTTAGTTTCAGGAAAGAATCCTTATGAACCTGATGCCATTCCCAGAATCTAAATCCTTTTAGAATCTAAAGAATTGAGGTGAGATAAAGTATATAGGAGGTGTAGTTTGGTTGTGACCTGCAAGCCTTTGTATTAACAGACACAACTGCTTTATGTGTATTTTTCATTACCACTATGTACCTGTTGAGTACTGAGGTTTCCTTATAAGAAAAAATGCACATCTCATGAGGAATATAACCTATGCTTCTGATCACTTCAGAAACCTCATGTGTAAAGAAATCCTCATTTGTTTTCAAGTGAACTTCTCTTGTACAGGTCCCCCAGCCCCTGTAAGCCAGTGACTGATGATCTGCCCAGCTCATCTGGATTTACTTCTTTTTCCTAACAGAACTCTGTTCCCCAGGGTTTCAGGCCACATCAGCATAGCCATTGCAGATTGATTTATTCCTTATCAGTGGCTGTGAGCTGCAAGGATGCTCTTTTTAATGCAGCCAGTTTGCCTCCTCTTACCCACCTTTGCCTCTTTTGCTCAATTTCCCTATCACATACGAGATAAACTAAAAAAGACTCACCCCAATCAGTTCCCTAAGAAATACAGATATCTTTGGTGCTTTAGCACTGTACCACAGTTGCTTTGGTAGATCCTCATTGTTCACAAGGCTGTAACGTGGGAGATGTTTCATCCCAGCATGTTGGGAGGAGGATGTGCACATTCCACACGTGTGGCTGTGCAGGGCAGGTGTAGGAGGGAGCAGGAGCTGATCCCAAGGCACAGCTTTGCAGGTGGAACCCTTGCATTTGCCACAGGCAATGGATTTACAATAACTTGTGTGTGTCACTTTGTCCCCAAAAGTGCCAGCTCCAGCTGATGACAGGGGCAGCTTTAGCCTTAGAGCACCTGTGCTTCCTCCCTCCCCACATCCTTATCAAAAGCAATGTTTCCTGTGGCCCAACACATTCAGTGGTTTGGTGTTAATTAAGAGCTTAAGTGCCAGAAATGCAGGGGAATTCACCATTTTCCATATTGATCCAGCAATTCTAGAAACAGGAGGTCTGAGGAAGATCTGGGATGACTGAGTTAACTGCTTTAGCAATAATAAATGGTTCAGATCCAAAGTTGATGTGAATCACTCATGGATCTGCTCAGTTTAACCAAATCAGGCATGTTTTACTGCTGCTGTTTTTGACTTTCAAAACTTCAGGGAGTCCCAGGCAAAGTGCCAGAGCAGGGTCATCTTATCCCTGTCACTAATCCTGTCGCTTCCTTTCACGCTCCTTCACACTCTGCAAATTGTTTGATGCCTTTTACTGTACCTCTGTGAAACCTTCCTGCTGGATTGTATGGATGGAGGATTAGGTAAATCATAGAATCATAGCCAAAGATTGTACTATACGTAAGTAGAGTCTCTTTCAGAGCATGCCTGATAATGTTATGTTTGAAAATAAATTTTTTTTTTTTTTAATAATACTCTCTTTTCCATCCTTTTTCAGGGGCCTCTTGGCTTGGATGGCAAACCAGTAAGTAGCACTAAGTGCCAAATATAACATGTCTTTGTTCATGCTGCTCCACAATAAATAGGCAGTATCTCAACTATTACTCATTTATTGCTACATATAGAACTGTTTAGGAGGGACAGTTGTACTTGGGAAAATTATTCCATGCAAGTTTGAATTCTGAGCCAGGGCTGGCCAGCAGAGCTGGAGGTGAACTTTTCTTTACCTGTCAGCTCATCTCAGCTGCTTCGTCGTGTCCTGCACCAGCTGGGCCAGCACAGACTGCAGGTGGGCATCAGGCCAAATTTGGGGAATAAACTCCAGTAGCACATTCAAAGAGCAAAGTGATCTTGGTTGTGTGCTTCTGGCACTACAGAGTGATACCATAAAAATAATTGATCCCAAAGGCAGGTTCCATTTTCCTCCAAAGAACCTGAGCTGGGAACTGCTTGAGGGTGCCCAGTGTCCATGAAATACTTTTTGGAACAGACTGGATTAATTTATGAGCTGTTTTCTTGACTTCATTTTTGCTTGGAAGCCCTTTGGATATCCAGGTGCTTCATTCTTTTCTTACTTATTTTACAGAAACACAGACTTTTTTATTTTTATACTAATTGAACCCTAGCCAGCTCTGATTCCTTCCACTGAATGGTTCCTACAGAAGGTCACAGCTCTGTATTTTGTTTCCAAACCCCATTCTCTTCCACCACCTTCACTAGAGGGCCCCATATGAAATCTTTTTAAATTCTGGTCCTAAACCAAGTGGGATTTCAAAGTGGATAAAAGTAATTCAGTCTTTGTAATTGAAAAGCTACTCCAGACACTTATTTCAATCCAGTTAGGGAGCGTGTTGTTATAGCTGTACATTGCTGTGGTTGGTTTTTATCCTAACCCTGAGGATAAAAAATGTGAATAAAATCTAGAAATAAAGCATTAGGCAAGAAAAGAGGAAGGGTCAGCTCCCAGCCTGGTGCACAGGACTTGGCTTTCAGTAGCAAAGCTTCATGCTGGGAGTGCAGTCAGACCCCAGAGCACAGCCTGAGGGCTGGGGTGCCACTGCCAGGCAGGAGTGAGACCCCGAGTGAGAGGCAGGGGAAATCTGTGGCAAAGCAAATTTATCATGCATCCAGACTCAAAACAGGCTGTTCATGCTCTCTTCCATGACAGTAAGGGGCCAGCAGCCTTGCTTAGAGAAAAACTGTGGGAAGGAGGCTGCATGGGAATGCAGATGCTGCTATCGCTGGCCTCTCTGCTGACCTTCCCCCACTGCATCCCACCGGGTCCCACTTGAGCACACACTGCACTGGTACCAAGATTTTTTACTTTTCTGTGCTGGAAGGCAAATGCAGAGCAGACACATCAGAGTGTTGCTCTCGGGTTCTCTGGGGCTGCAGTGTCTCTGCCTGTCCTACAGGCAGCTGCTCAGAGGGAAGATGAATGATGCCTTCAGCAAACAGGCCAAAGAAAGCAGCCCGTCCTCCTTGTTTATTTCAAACAGATGTATAATTGTTGTAATGATATACTGAGCATGTGTTTTTTCTAGAAGTGATTTAGTACCTCAAGGTATCTTTTGCATCTATTTAGAGTCATGTGTTGGCGAGCTGCTGTCACACTGCCTGCCCTGCTCTAGTCCTTCTCCATACTCTGTCCTGGCAGGAGCAGGCAGGACCTCGTGGGTGCTTTTCGGTAAAGTGTTGCTCATGTCAAGCACTGCACAACTTAAAATAGTGGCATGTATTCCTTAAAATAATAGAGAATGTGGCTCAGGTTTGTGAATTGATGAATGTGATTTCCTTGGTTTTAATGTCACATGCATTGGTGATTCTGCTGTTCCTTAACTTGTATTCTTCTTATGTGTTTCCAGGGACCTCCAGGACCAAAAGGGGAAAAGGTAAAGGGTGCATTAACATGTGGATTTTGTGGGAGCAGTTCCTGATTATCCTCCTGCTGCTGTAATTCTTTCAAGTTCAGGTTGTCCCAGTAATCCAGCTGGGTTTTGTTGGGATGTGGAGCTGTGACAGTGGGTTCTCACATTGCTCTTGGAAAAGCTCCAGGAGGCTGGAAGAATTTGCAGAAAAGTGGGGGGAACAAGTGTGGTCTTAAAGCTCACCCATGCTACAGGGTTCTGGTAAGCCACTGTGGGTGATGAGAGTGGCATAAAACTCTCTTCATTCTTCCAAGAGATCTGGGCTCCATCGCTCTGTTTGCATGACACCCGTGCAATCAGAGGAGCCAAAGAAGGTCATTACTGAAAGTGAAGTTAATTTTCACATGTGAAGGACATAAGCAGTTGCTAGGAGAGCCTTAGAGTTGGAAACAAACTGCTCTTTCTGATTTATTATCTGTTTCATTGCCTGCCAGGGCAGAATCTTTCCCTATTGTGTTGTCTCAAAACGTTCTCCTCCCTCATTTTAACTATATTAAGCAATAGGACTCTTGCCACTTCCCTTGTGTGCTGTGCTCGTGTCCAGCTGACCCTGTGCTCACTCCTTCAGGGTTGAGATTTGAACCCTGACCCTTTGCTGTTTTTCCTGATTTGCAGGGGGAAGCAGGAGACATTGGCCCAAGGGTAAGTAGTGACACTGCACATTGATTTATTCCAAAATCTGGTTTAGTCACTGCACAAAATAAAGCTTTGTGCAGCCTTGCTGCAAACGGTATGGTAACAGTTGTGGAAACATTTCATTTTGCCTCTGGAGCTGTTTGTGGTGGTGGTTTTCCTAACTTTGGCCATGAGGAAAAAAGAGTTGAAGATCTTTGGGTACCTCATGAAGGGTTTTGCTTCTACTGAGCTTTCTCATCCCTGATTTCCTCTTCCAGTCCAGTGTCAGAGACAGACTTCGTGTTTCTCTTGAAGTTTCCCCTGAGGCTGTGCTCCTTGTTTGTTGGCATTAGAGCACCAGTATATGGGGGTAGGATCTGGTGTCCCAGGGAGAGGTCCAGCACAGAGTTGTGCAGGATGGAATGTTCCTCCTCTCTTGCTGAGCTCCCCACCTGGTAGCAGGATGACATCCAGGTGATATCCTGGCTGCCTTTGAAAATAAAGGGTTTAAAGTAACTGTATGATGAGGGAAAACTCTTTTAGCTATAGCATACAGAAATTATTGGAATTTCATGAAATTTCCTCTCATGGAGCTGCATGAAGTTGAGATCTACTGAAGGAAATCAGGACAGGTCTCCATGAGACACAAGGGGGATGTGGCCCATGTTGGGGATGAGATAGGAGGTTTCACCACAAGGTGAAGAGGTATTTCTGAGGTATGGTTGTCTGTGGGTTATGGGCATCTGCTGGAAACCCCATTGTGTGGATGTCTTGGAATCCTGGTGTACCAGTCACTGTAGGAGGCCCAATTTGGAGCTGGCACTCAAGAGTTGGCTGACCTGGGTTAGATGTCACTGCTGGAAACATAACCAGGACCTCAGTGGTTAATGTTGAGTGGAGATGCCTCAGAGACATTTTTCTTCTTTTCCCTGGAGGTTGTAAAATCACTTTATGAAGCTGGTGTCATATTCTGAAGCAGCTCCTCACTGTCTTGGATGTGTTTGGAAATGTCACCCTGGGGCTCAGAGAGCCCCTAAAATTTCTCAGATAGATTTACAGCCTGTGTGGTGAAGGAGGGGCTCAGTGTAAGGTCTCACTTTGTCTAAGTGCCCACCCACGTTCTCAGAACAGGCTTTAAGAGGTGATTCAGTAGCACAGGGACATGAGTTTTCACTTCTTGGCCAGGGCTGTGGGTGACTTTGGGGCTGGTGACTCAGGAATGCCGGAGGAGGTGCTGCTCAGGCTCCAAAGGCTCTGTGCTGCCAGGTGCTGTGGAACTCACCTCCTGCTGCAGGAGATGCTCTGGGACAGGTTCTGTCTGGACTTGCAGGGCAGGTACCAGCTCTCAAGGTAACACTTGTCCTTTGTTTTCATCTACTAAGAAAAATTTGCTGGGTTTTGGGGGCATATTTTTGCATTTCCTGTTCTGCATTTGTCCAGATTTTGCTTCAGTTTTTTATTTATTTATGACTTTTTGCAGAACAGTGAGAAAAAGGCTCAAAAACAATTTGGGAGAAAGAGGGAGAGAAAAGCCTGGCAGAACCATGTAAAAGTAGACCTAGAAACAGGTGCCTGACTTTGAAAATAGCTCCCTTTATGTCTCCAGACACTCAGGGTTGTGAACAGGAGGCAAAACTTCTTAATACCATCTGGTCTAGATTACTTTTTATTTCTGAATTTAATCTATCTTATTCCTCAAGTTTCAGTGGTTGCTTTGTTCAGCTGACTTTGAAAGATGTGTCAATGCAGTTCACTGCATCAATGGGAAGATAAATAACTAGGACTATATCCAGTGCCCTCTTCCTTGTAAATGGTCATGTCCACGGGTGGTGGAATGAGGTTAGAGTGTGTCAGTGAACACTGAAACACTACCATTAGGAATGATGGATTAAAAGAGAATAATCCTTGGGGTGGCATTGGAGGGACCGTCTGTGGTGGGAGTGAGGTGATGGCAATTAGGGATTAGCTACCAAATATGTTCATGTCTGCATTGCTTCTCTTCCTGTAATAAACACCTGCCACCAGGGTGGACAAACACAGAGATTATTACACATGGGAGTGTGCCCGGTGGCAGATGCTGGAGGGTGATTTTGGAAAGCTGAGGAAGGAGATCACCTTAGGTTGTCTTCATCACTGAATGCTCCTTGTTGTAAGCAGCATGAGGGAGGATGCTGTGCAGCCTCACCTGCTCAGGATGGGGAATAAATGTGCCCAAATGTACTGATAGAATGCATGGAAGTGTATTTATAGGGAGAAATCAAAGGCAGGTCCCCTCTGCTCTTGGGAAGCTAGAGGGAGTTGAAGCAGGGTGCTGCTAAGGTTGGGACAGATGTGCCCTGATATTTGTGCCTGTGCTTCTCTCTCACAGTCAAATACATTGCTGCACCCCTGGAAAGGACTGGTTTTATAAGCCTGACTTGCTCCCTGAGCTGGCACTGGGCCAACTGCTCTGGATTTATGAACTTAGCTGGGTGATCTTGTTCGTACTGACAGATGAGATGTTTAGACAAATGATGGGGTTGAGGAATCTCTGCACATCTGGGCTGGTGGATGCACAGTGCCTGTGGCAGCAGCAGCACCAGCTTTGCTCTTCAGAGGGAGAAAATGAGCTTCAGCTGGTGAGAGAAATGCTCTGTCTGCAGTGGCCCACATGGCACACGCCTGCCCATGGCCAGTGCTGATGGAGATGGCTCCAGCATCTCCTGGATCCGGAGCTGCTGGGGGCCAAACACTGGCGTGGCTGAACCAGTTCTGCAGCTCAGTGCAGACACCAAAGGAGCTTTTTCTCCCTTGTTTTCTGCAAAATTGTAACTGCTTGCCAAGCTCACACTGCAGATAAAAACTCAGCACAGGAAGCATCCTGCAGAGCTCTCTGTGGCAGTCAACAGACACCTATGGATACCTCTATTTTATTATTTGCTTACTTTGAAGTGTTATGTTGAAATGGCTACATCAAGGACTCTAAAGCTGGAAATTAGCAGTGTTCAAGGTTTCTGTGCTCCAATATTCCAGTGCTATACGGGGTCAGACCCAACAGCCTGTTAGCCCTGTGCCTTGAAACCAGATGCTTTGGACATTGTGGAGCAGGAATATGTTATTCCATCACACTTAACCCCTCTCCTAGAGCCTGGCTCTCTACAGCCTGGATGTTTCTTGAACCAGGGATGGTGTCTCTCTATTTAATATCCCTCAGGGCTGTTCACCTCTCATGGGCCCATCTGTAACAGGGGCTGCTTAAAATTAAATGTGTGATGGCTGGATTTGGTGGGATATGGTGTGTTTGGCCTTGGAGCAAATACAAATTGTTATTTTCCATTAAAACAGATAGGGCTGGGCTTGGAACGTGCTTATTTGGATGATGTTCACCAGTCTGAGAGACAAGAAAAAAATTCAGTTCCTGTTTTGCTCTGTGGGCTTTTATGAAAATCCCACTTTATGCTCTTGTGTACTTTATGCACATAATGAGCCACAGAACTGTGTCCCCTCTGTCTACCACAAAGCCCTTTGTTCTCAGTAGAGTCTTTTTGGTGGTTTCTGTAGTATTTGGAGGACCTGGCCACGTGTAATTAATGTGTTGTCATTAATTTCAATTTCTCAGTATTTCAGTGCTCTTCTTCCCAAAAGTAACTGTGTTTAACTGAGTTTTGAGCTCAAAGCCCCTCTCCACATCTTGAAAAAAATTCTTAGTAGGGGCTTCTTTTCTGGGGTTGATTATTTTTTTCTATCTGACTACTTTTCTCCTGCCTTCTTGACATGATGGTGTTTAAAACATCTGCACTGGGAGGCTGAGCAGGAGGTGGCCTTGCCAGTGCACTGTTCTCCCCAAAACTGGGGTTTGGGGTTATCTGTTATTGGTGTGCAAGGTTTAAAAGCTCTTTGGCAATTTTGAAAAGAGGTTTGTTGCCCAGAACCCTCCAAAAATCCTCATGGAGGCTTTGCTGTGTGCTCCCACGGGGCTTCTTGTGGCTTCACTCCACCCTCTTGATTCTCCTATGGATGTGTACAGGGATGGGTGGATGGGGGAAAAGGGAGATGCACGTGGTGTCCTGAGAAAGGAAATGTCTTACTGCTTCTCCCTAGATAGATGAGTGGAAAGGCTAAAACACAATAGCAATGACTACTGACACAGTCTAAATACATTGTTTTTGCATCATATAAATCTGGGAAATTTATCTGCAATTTGCAGGCTGGGAATACATCAATATTCATTTGAGCCTCTGAAAACAAATACAATATTAGGTCTCAGGGAAATGCTGGGATATATCATCCCCTACGGGGTTTACTGGAATAATACTCTTTATTCTGCAGTAGGGGAATCCTTGTCCCAGCTGCTTTGAATGTCCTATTGTGCAGTAAACTAGTAAAAAAATACTTGTTTCCCTCAGTCTGTGTCCTGTTACAAAGCTCCAGTGTACCCAGAACATTAAATCCCAGTGTTGGCTACCTAGGCTATTACTTTCAAATGTATCAACTAGTTATTAAAAAAAAAATATTATATATTGCTGCAGCCTTTAAAACTCACTCTTCTGCTGTGTTTTCCTCTTAAACTGCTGCTCTTTCTTCTTCTGCTTCCCACTTTCTCTGGATGTAGATGGTTTTTCCCCACCTCAGTCATGGATTTCTGGCTAATGATCAGCTTGTCTTTAGCCGGCGAGTGCTCAAGGTAGACACCAAATCTGCTGCCATTGGTTTGCTGTGGTCGTTTGAGCTGCATTTGCTTTTTTCCTGGCTGACAGTGCACTGCTGCTATTTTAAATTGCCACAACCATGGCTGTGTTTAGAGATGCTTGTTGGGAGCACGTTTGACTGAAGTCCCATTGGAATTTAGGGAGCAGGCATTGTCGAAGTAGAGGAACATGACGGGTTTAAGCATTTGGTTCTTTGTGAGATTTGGGAATCAAGCAGCAAAGTCCTATAAATTTGATATAAACACTGTAGGTATTGTAAAATAAAAATGCATTAAAAGTAATCTAAATCCTTGAACTCTAAATGGGACATTGTAATTAGGAAAAGTTCAGTGGGAAACTCAACATAATTGGTTGCAGTGTTCAGCATTTGCAATTGGGTTTTTTAAAAAAGGATACGAGTGATTTAGGAGCCCAGATCTTGTTGAAAGGCCATGGAACTTGTGCTGCTAAGTCACTTAAGGACTTCTGAAAAATCCCACACTTGTCCCTGATTTGAGGGTGGACCACATATTAAACACAGCCCTCTGACTGCCTCGCTGCTGTCTTTCCCAGATGTTGCTAAAAGATTTACGAGGCCGCCTTTCCATGAGGTTTTCCCATTGTGCAGCCTCATGGATGGGCTGGGCCACGGCCCCAGGGCTGGGCTGTGCTGGCTGGTGGGGGACCAGGAGCTGATTCCCAGGCTGGAGCCCCCCGGGATGCTCCCCTTGGGAATGGCACCCACCAAACCGGCACAGCCACAGGGACACAGCGTGTTCTCTGCACCCAAAACCCGCAGGTGTGAGCGGCTCGGGATGTTCACGTGTGACCTTGGCTGGCTGTAAAGGATGAGATCAAGCACTGCCACTTTTTTGTGTGGTTTTGTGGTGTGGTGCACCGAGCCATGGCAGTGTGTGCATGCTTCCTGCCAGCATGTTGTGAGCCTGGGTTGCTCTGGGTGCTGTTGGGTCGGTAGATTCCATGCAGGCTTAAGCAGATTAAATCTCATTGGAAGGCATTAAGTACAATCCTGGTTGAGGAACCAGACCCAAATAGCATAAAAGTGAGTTCACTTTCAGCTTTCCCAACTGGAAGTTGTAGTTAAATTCCTCTGGGATAGCAGAGGGCATGGTACTGGCCCAGGGATGCAGTGCATGTGTTGTGGACACCCTGAGACCACCCCTTGCCAACACTGCTTCATCTCACCATGTCTGTGTGAACTTCTTCCAGGGTGATCAAGGTCGAGATGGAGCCACAGGCCCCCCTGGTCCGCCAGGACCCCCAGGTGCCCGGGGGCCTCCTGGGGACACGGGAAAGGATGGCCCACGAGGACCTCCAGGCCCCCCTGTAAGGACGGGAGATGCACAGCAAGCACATATCAGGCAGTTCCCACCCCACGAGGGACAGGAGGGTGAAGGGTGTCCCCTTCCCCGGTGCTGCCACCACAACCACTGAGTCCCCAGCCTGAGCCACAGCTGGGCTCCAAAGGTGGCTCATAGAGCCAAGCCCTGGGGTGTGGGGCAAGGGAGCAGGAGGGGACCTTCCATCTCAAGTTTTGGAGCAAAGAGCTGGACCTGGGGCATGTATTTGCAGGTGCTGGTGCTGTCACAGAGCCAGGAGATCTCTTCCCCAATCCATACCCTTTGCAAATCTGAAATTGATACCTGTTGCAAATCTGAAGACCACTGGCAATACATTTAATAAAAAAATAGACTAAAACATAATGCAGTGGAACATTCTAATTATTGCTGAGAATTATTTTGGAGAATGGGAGGTAATAGTTTCAATGTCGGTCTTTTTATTTTTTGCAGGGTTTCAAAGGCGAGCCGGGAGAGGATGGAGTGATGGTCAGTAATGCCCAGAAGCATCTGTGTCTGTGCCCCTTACCCCCATTGTACATCACCCTTCAGCTCACTGCAGCAAGTGGGTTTGTGTCATTGCTTATGGAGGACAAAAAAAACCCCATGGAATTACAAGTGGCCTAAAATGGATGTTTGTCCAGGAGACAAAATACTCTGGTTTTTGTGTCCCCTTGGCTCTTCTGGAGGGATGTGGTGCTCCTGTATCCTTACACCTGCCCCTCTGAAGCCACCTGGCATTGTAACTCCAAATTGCTGAGGTTTATGTTGGATAAAAACAGTGTTTATTATACATAAAATAACTGAACCATGAAAGGATATTATTCACTGGGAGCACAGAGAACAAATACAGCTCTATTTGTATGGGAAGATGAGAAGTTGACATCTCTGACATTTTTTTTTCTTGGAATTAAAATACTCTTAGAAATGCTTTTATCCCATTTTTCTCTGTTGTCAAACAAGTAAACTAATCACTCTTATATTCAACAGGGTGCCAGAGGACCTCCAGGATCAAAGGTGGGTAATAATCTCCCTAATTTTAACGTGAATTCTTGAAATAATGCTGCATAAGAGGGGTGGGTATGAAAATAAGCATTTTGCAGTGGACTTAAACTCATCAGTATATATCAGATACAAAATTCCAAGGCATTGACAGGGGGTGTAAATGTCTGAGTGTGTCACTTCCTCAATATCACATCCACTGCCCATGCTCAAACCTGGAAATGGGGGTGGAGGGAGCCACAGGGGGCTGGAATCTGCTGTGCTGTGGGAACATGCTTTCTTGCATTTGGGGAGGCTAAATATCATCAGCAGAAGCCAAGTATTTTAATTTTACAATTAATTTTGATTATCCACACCATTTTTTTCTGTTATTTATTTTTTTCTGTAATTATTTTCTGTTATGGCCCTAAAATTCTTTCTCTTCTGTTGATGTTGCTGTTGAAGGGTGAACCTGGTGTCCAAGGGAAAAAGGTAACATGGTGCTTTTTTTTTTTTAAATTATAAGTTTTTGTTCTTTTTTCTTTGCTTTGCTCTCTGCTTGGCTAGGGAAACAACTGCAAGAGACTGGTGTAGAAGCCATGTCCTTCCCTCTGTTCCCTCGGCTTCCCTCCCACACGATCCTGGAGCTGGGCATGGCTGTGCCTGCAGCCTGGCTTTCATTTCCACAAGCAAGCCAGAAGCTGCAGCCACATCTGCCCAATAGACAAAGAATGAAACAGCAAATGCCAAGCAAAGCAGTAGGTCTTGGGCCCTTTCTCTCCAGTAATTCAATGAACCAAGAGGTGCCTGGAGGATGTTCTCTGCCCAGGGGCCCTGGGATGGGTTTGGAATTCCTGGGATGGCCATCACCATGCAGCACTGCAGTCCTATGGGAAATGTCCACTTGAGGGCCAGGAATGCTGCTTGGGTGTGGCATTGATGATTGTGAGACATTCACATGTCCAGGCTCTCAGTTCTCTCCCAGTGGTGCCATCAAGAAGTGGATAAATCACTGCCTTTAGGTGAAATCAAAGCACTGACAGGGCCCACCCTTTCCTGCTTACTGATTTGGCCCAAAACAGGGGTGGCCATGGGTGTTCTGCAGGCCAGAATTTGGCTTAAATATTTCATAACTGGCTGGTGAAACTAATCTCTTCAGTACCCATGAAGTGGTGTTACTCCAGGAGAACAACAAAGCACAAGCAAAACCAGAAAACCTCCTGTCAGAGGATGTTGGTGACTTGTGATGCAGTCCATGAGGATGGGTGGCAGCTTACAGGAGGTCTTTGGGACACAAAAGGCCTTAGGGAATTTAATATTTAGTTTCTGTTCAAGGTGGGAGAAGACCTTTGCCAGGGTCTGCTGTAAGCAAATTCTGGAAGATGCCTGTCCACCTTCCCAGGAGCAGGGGAGGCAGAGGCAGGGCTGGGTGGGAAGAGGGGACCATGCTGGAGCATCCTGTGCTCCTTGCTGCTACTCTCCCCTGGTTGCCTTCAAACCTGAGTGGGTTTCAGGTCTGTGTGACACTCAGGTCAAATGATGTGTTGGAACCTACTTAGTATGTACAAGGTCTGTGTATTTCACTTTTTATATTTTATTCCATCAGGGTGATGATGGGATCCCTGGGGAACCAGGACTTGTGGGCCCTAAGGTATGTCCTGCTCTGTGTCCATCTAATGCATGTGTTGGGCACATCTGCTGCTGTCTGGTTTTTGGCACCATATCACAGGTGGGGCAGGATGAGAAACATTTCTCCTCTGGTGTGGAAAAAGATCAAGAAACTCTGAGGGTGCTGAGGCCCTGGCACAGGGTGCCCAGAGAAGCTGTGGCTGCCCCATCCCAGGAAGTGTCCAAGGTCAGGCTGGACAGGGCTTGGAGCAACCTGAGGTAGTGGAAGGTGTCCCTGCCCATGGCAGGGATGGGTACTGGGTGATCTTCAAGACCCCTTCCAACACAAAACATTGTGAATTTATTATTCTATGCTGTGGTTTTGGGACCAGCTTCATGGCTGAACACACCACCCGCAGCCAAACTGCTGAATCTGAAAGCTTCATTTTCATCTCAAAACCTCCCTGGTTGCACCTGGGCAAGGTGATGTGTTTTACAGCTGAAAGCAGAGCTCTGCTCCCTTGTGTATGTAAAATGAAGCTAAATCAAGAAAACGATAACCTGAAGAAATCTTTTCTCCATCCTCCCTGTATAGTATTTGTTTAAATGGGTTTGTTTTCAGGGAGAAAAAGGAAGCGTGGGTCCCAAGGGAGAGAATGGCACAGATGGCTTCCCAGGACTAAAGGTGAGAAAAGCTGGAACTGTGGGCACAGCATTGCTGATGCAGAGGCTTCCAGCTGAGGAGGTGTTTTGGGCCTTTGCCTTCTAAAACCTCATAAAGTGCCAAAACTGACACAAAAGGAGTGATATGAAGAGTGTTTTAACTTTTTCTGGTGATTTGATGAAAGCTGGGTTCAAGCAGAGATCAGTATAAGAGTTCATAAGTCATCTACTTGCACATATTCCACTAAATTGCCTTTTTTCCTCAAAAAAGGGAGAATTCTGGTCACATTTTGATCCCATGTTATTGATGGCTGTGGAATTGCTTCTGAGCCCCAAGCACTTGTGAGCTGTTCTTTCCTCCTGACCTCCAAAAGAGATACAATTAGTCTGGGTTTGTTAAGTGGTGGTGAGGAGACCTGGACAGCATCCGTGGGCTGTTATTTACCCCCTCAGCTGCTTTGTATTCAGCAGGATCTGGATGCACTGATATTTTCTATATCAAAGAGTCGTGATTCCTTATTGGGGAAGAAAGTGTGTGTGAGGAAGAAAGTGGGCTCTGGTGAAATTTAGTAAACTTTTTCTAGAACCATAGGAGCGGTGCTGATTGAATTTAGGTTTTTTCCTATATATTTGTACCATTTTTTACTTTTTGGAGATCTTTAATTTGGTCAGCAAGGGGATTAATACAGGTGTGGCAAATGGGACATCTTCTTAATCCTGAACAGAATTTCAGATCATTGCTGTAGGAGTACTGTGACATTTTAAAACTCTCCAATTAAAAAAAAAAAAAAATTATGAAAAGGAGGGGAGGGGGGAAAATAAAAAAGACAAAGAAAAAAAGAACAATTTGGCACAGACCTTTTCCTTAAACTCACCCTTGAAAATGGGTTAAACATCTCAGCTGAAAGTTTCCACATGCAAAACTCAGCCTGAAGCAAAGGGAGCCATGTGGAACCAGCACAAAGAGGTGGAGCTCAGCACACTTGGAGCAGGGAGAGGAGCTGGAGAGCAGCACAGCCCATACAGGGAGCTCAGCCCTGAGCTGGCCACTCCACTCCCCCTGCAATGCAACCTCCTCTTACTTCCCTTGTTGTTATACCAACATTGTTTTTTTGCAAAATATATTCACTCTCAAGTCAAATTTATTTTCTGCTAGGAGAAGCAGTCCCTTGTTGGTGTCATAATTTTTCTGAATCTAAAGCATATCTTTATGGGTCGGTACAGTACTTTTAGGATAAATATTTTGTATTTTTCTTGGTCTCCTTGAAATAAACGTGATTTTTGATTTTCAGGGTGAACCTGGTGAGAAGGGAGGAATTGGCTCCATTGGACCCCGGGTATGGATGCTCAGGATTTCAATTTAGAGCTGTGTATTTGTCTCAACCTTAGCTTGTCTCAACCTCCCCACCTTATTTGTCTCAACCTTATTTACAACCTTATTTGTCTCAACCTTGAGCTTGTCTCAACCTCCCCACCACCTCTTGCTGCTTAGTATGTGGATGAATTGCTTCAGGATCAGTTCAGTGTCTGAAAATAGAGATGGTGCATATTTAAACAAGTGATTGCACAGGTACTGAATGCTGACATGGGAAATCAGTCAAGTCCAGTTTTCTTATCCTCGTGACCATCCTCTGACCCTTTTTTCTGCAAGAGGGAAGCCAGGAATAGGGGTAATCCAGTGAGGATTTTTATGCACTCCTCCGTTACACAAATTGATGGCCTTTTGAGGTTTGGCAGTTCCAGCTGTCAGACTAAGCACTGGTTAAATCCATGGTGTTTGTAAGGTGATAACCCCCAAATGCTGCGTGTCAGGTCTTTGCTTTCATACCAGCCACCTCTCAGAGCTGTAACATTAAGCAGGATTCATCCCTGCCTGCAGGGTCCCCCTGGGCTGAAAGGTGAGCAGGGAGACACCGTCGTGATCGACTACGACGGCCGAGTCCAGGATGCACTCAAGGTAAGCCCTGCGCCAAGCTGGGTCCTGCTCTTCGTGGGAAAGGACAGAAATCTGCCAAGCTCTGCCACAGTGACATTGTGGCAATGTGTCCACCCTTGTCCTATGTCTCCTCCTGAGATTTCTGTCTTGGCACAGAGCTGGTTGGGAGGGAAGAAAGAGCTGATTGAATCTGGGGGCTGAGGATATTTAGGGTGTAGCAGCAAAAGCGTTGATGGAGCTCGATGGCAGCAGTGGGGATGTGGGAGGAGGGGGAACGACACCCGAGCCTTAACCTGCCCCACTGAACAGTGCCCTGACCTTTTCATTAGGATGAAATAAGCTGAATAGAATAAATACTTGATTACAGACATATTTGAGAACCATCCTAATTGTTTTATAACAGGCTGCAGGGATACACAAAGTGCTGGTAATTTCTGTTTGCCAGGTGTCTGCATGGCACGCAGCTTTGGGAGGGGAGTTTGTGGAGTGCAGTGGTTGGAGAGGCTCCATCAAATGTCTGGAGGCTTCATGTGCTGGACCCAGACCCTGTCTCATGTTCTGCATGCAGAGACTGCTGAGGGGCACGTTGCTGAGCCTCACTAACTTTGCTGTTTTCCTGCTTATTCGCTGTTTGCAGTCTTTGTGCACTGGCCTGTCTGATGGACAAGGCTCTGGAAAGGCTTCCAGTGTGACTAAGTGTAACAGCATTTGAGTGTGCAGCCATGGAGAATATGCTCCATGGATATAATACTGGTTTGGCTTTCATCTGAGTGAGACTACAAATTTTGCTGCTTGAAATAATTTGCAAGTTGGAAAATATTTGTTCATCTCAAGGTGGTTTGTGGTCTTTGCGTCCAGCAGTGCCCAGGAAAAATAGCTTCTTTAAGTGAGCAAGGTTTTCCTGCTGTTTGTGTTCACACAAACTCCTTTTTCCCCCTCTTTAACTGCACCTCCCTGGCTGGCTGACACTGTTTTCAGCACGATGCTGCTTCCAGGGTTGGCTGGCTGGAGCAGGCAGGATGCAAAAAGAGACCATCAGATTTTGGGTCCCACCTCCAGCTAAAGGCATTTTTCCTCTTAACCCATGTCTTTGCAGCTGTATGCCTGCCTTGCTCCCATTGTGTTCTGTTTTGCATGAAGAACCCCGTGGCAGAGGAGCCCCAGTCACTCTGTGTCAGTTGAGCTCCCCTCGCTGTCCAAGCAATTCTGCTCACCTGAGTGTCTCTGGCAGATCCTGGCTGGGAGCTGCTGATCCCCACAGCACAAGGACAGCATGTTGTGTTCATGTTAGTCATGATAAGCCTGTTTTGTTTGCTGTGTTTCAGGGTCCACCAGGTCCCCCAGGGCCACCGGGCCCCCAAGGCACTCCAGGTCCCAAGGTGAGCCTGACCTCTGCCAAGCAACATGGTTGTTAGTAGCTCTCCATGAAGAGTCTCCCAAGCCAAAATAAGGCAGTTGTAGCAGCCTGCAGAGGAGTTTGAGGTTATGTGTACTATTTAGCCCATTCTCTGGCGAAAAAAAAGGTGGCTTTCACACAAAAGCCAGGATTTTGTTGACCTGTCTCTGGCCTTCAGCCTCTTCCAGAGGATGCTGTCCCCCAAACCTGCCCAGTCCCAGTCCCACACCTGACAGGTGATATCCCAGCCCCTCTAGTAGGAGAAGCAGTTGTGAGAGGGGCTGGCAGCCCCATGGCTGTGCTGAGCCACCTCCCTGTGTGCTGTTTACTGTCCCAGCACTGTGTCCCAGGAGCTGCTGTCCGCCTGCTTCACAAGCAGTAGTCTGTAACCTGCAGCCAGCTGTAGCCAGCTTAAAAAGAAGGATGTAATTTGTAGAAAAGTATCTCTTGAAAGAATGGGATAGGACAGGATTTTAGTGCCTTTTGAGGTCTCTGAGTCAATATTCAGATCAGCTGGTGATGCTGGTGCCTCACTGACGCCTCCTTGGTCCTGAGCCTGACAGTGGCAAATCCATAACAACAGTTGTGTGTGAATAATTCATTTCCTTGCACAATGCTTTCCCAAGATGAATTCTTAATTTAATTTACCATGGGTTCCCCTTTCCTTGTGTCCCTTCAGGGAGAGCTGGGCTTGCCAGGTCCACCTGGAATGGATGGTGAAAAGGTGAGTGAGGCACGGCTGGATTGAGCGAGACCTTGCCAGGAGCCAAATGAAAAGGAAGTTTCCTGTGTGTCTGTGAAAAGCAAATCCAGCCTGCCAGGAGTGAGCTGTGCTGTGCAGTATCAGCTGTGTCTCCCTGAATTGATGGCCCTTTGCCTGCATCCCCTGCTCTGCTCTGAGCGTGTCGATGCTGCTCGTGGCCACGTGTGCCGAGCTAAAGGGGCTCCTTTCATGAGCAGTTCATCAGATGCTGTCTCAAATCTTTTTGTAAACCTTCCCAACCCTAAATGGCTGCAATCCCTCCTGCAGTCCAGCCAAATTCTGTTGCACCCTCAGAATTGGCATCTGTGAGGTTGAATGTTAAAACATTTTCTCATGAGCATGCGGAGGGAAACAGCTGAAAGGCAAAAGTGGCTGTTGGGGGTTTAAGAGCTTTCTCCTATACCTGTTGTTTTCTCTCAACTTGCAGGGTCCAAAAGGAGCAAAGGGTGACCAGGGCAGCATGGGGATCATGGGGCAGAAAGGAGAGACAGGAGAAATGGGCTCAGCAGGTCCCCCGGTACGTCCCTTTGTCTGTCCCTGTCCCTCTGCTCTTGGTTCTTTAATGCTCTGATTTCTGCAAATGCTCAGAATGGGGCTGGCTTGGCTGATTTAAGCAATGACCTCTCCACACCAGCTTACTGTGGAGCTGGTGGATGTGGAAGCTTTGAATTTCCATTTCTAATCAGCTTATTCAGAATGTATCAAGGAGGAGAAAACAGTTGTTCAAAGTCTCCTGGAGATGACCATGAGCTTTGCCTGAGCCAAGGCTTGTTTTTACAGGGAGACAAACTTATTCTTCTCTCATTTTTGCTTTCCTGGAAGATGCACCTTGTGAGTGACACATTTTTATCTTTCAGGGAGCAGAAGGGCCAAAAGGAGACAAAGGAGAAAAAGGAGACACTGGGTCACCATGTCTGCAGAATAATCACGTAAGATCTTGGCAACATAAAGTCTCTTTCATGACACAGGATCAGGCAAAGTTGGGGTGCAGGATAGACCCACCAGTCCCATATCTATCAGCAAAGCCCAACTGCTTTCTACAAGTGTCTAAATGGGGTTTATTCATTAGGGAAGACCAGTTCAGACACTCAGCACTACAAAGTTACTTTAGATTTTGTATTGGTGGTTGAGATATTGGATGCCGCTGTTGTAATTAATTGTGTTAATTTTAATAATTAATTTAAATAATGATTTTGAGCTTTGTGAGGTTTCCACTCCTGAACCATCTTCTCTCTTGCCCAGCCTTGTTAACCTGCTGTTTAATTCCCTTCTGCAGATCATACCTGAGCCTGGACCCCCCGGATTACCTGGCCCTATGGTAGGACTCTGGAAGCGATTCCTGCAGATTTGTTATTGAATATGATAGATAAGGACAAGGGTGGTTTGTTCTCTTTAATCATTGTAGGCTGTTTTGAATCTGGGAAAAAAAATCAGGGAAGTGCTACAGTCTGATTTCTTGGAGAAATTAAAGCACCTGATTTAAGAGAGTACATCAGAGCTTATGGCTCATTTTGCAAAAATCCACGTTGTTCATTGGGAGAAAAGATAAAATCTTGTGGGATGGAAAATCTGTTCTGAACCATGACAGTGTCTATATTTCCCTAAATTCACACAAGTCATTTAGTGTTCTGCCATCAGCTGCACTGGGAGAGGATTCAGGTGGTGATGAACACACAGAGCATTTTTGATGGAGATATCAAAGGGGTTTGGTGCCTACAGTGCTCCAAAAGGAGCTGTCAAGGACATTGGGAAGGTTTGGGTGTCTTGCTGGGTCCAAGATTCACCTTTAGAGACCATGCTTCAAAAGCAGGTGGCACTCAGATCCTGGGAGTTATCCCAGCCCTGCCCAGGTGTGGAGGGCTGTGGTGGCACAATGCCACCCCCAGAGCTTCCTCTCACTTTCTTCAGCAAAGCATTTGGGGGCTTGTGTTGCAGAGCTTTATTGTCCCATGTTACACAGAGTGCTCCTTTTCAGTTCCCCTGCCCTCTGATTTGATATTGGAGAAAAAAATAAACTGCCACCTGTCTTGAAAAGAAGTATTTGACCATTGTCAGCCTGTAATTTGAGCAATAAATGGTTTGGGAAACAAAGTTTGGGGTATGTTTTTAAATTTGGGGTTTTTTTCAAATATACCACTGTCTTTCCCACAGGGTCCTCCAGGAATCCAGGGACCTAAAGTAAGTCAATAAATTAAATGTCACCCAGTTTCCCAGCTGCCAGTGCATTATTTACAGGCTCACAAAGGCCTGTCAGCTCTGGAGACTGAGTTTTTTGTCACTGTTGTCGCAACACATCCCTTGGTTACACTGTTCAGCAGTCGGCATTTTAGAAAACAAGCCATTTTTCCTTCCAAGCATTTACAATCCAAACCGCTCCTCCAGGACAGAGTTCTGAGGGCTGATGAGAGTCAGGGTTTCCAAATCAAAAGGCTTATAACCTGTATTTTCAGCTATTTTCTTATATGATGTGGTCAAGAGCAAGACATCAACAGCAGTGTGGGTGTCAGCACCCCAGAGCAGGGGTGGGAGCTACTGGGTGCAGGAGGGGCTGCCCTGGCCAGAGCTGCCAGGTCTCCTTTGCTCATTTATTTCATTTCTGCAGGGTTTGGATGGTGCAAAGGGAGAAAAAGGTGACAGTGGTGAGAAGGGGGACCAAGGTGACACCGGACCTGCTGTGAGTTGTTTTCCCAAATCTCATTTCTGGCTGTTGACAGAAACCTGTCTCACAGGAAACAATCCTAATGCTTTGTTTCTTTTTCATTTAAGGGTCTCCCGGGTGCTCCAGGGCTCATTGGTTTACCTGGTACCAAAGGAGAAAAGGTAATCATGGGTGTGGGAGAGGAGCAATTGGGGTGCAATCCTAAAATAGGGGCTGTAAAATCCTGCTGTGGGGAGTCCAGCCAGAGCTGCAGAGCTGCAGCACTACCCTGGTGCATGACAAAGGAGCAGCCTCCAATCCCAGGGGCTCCTGGATGAGCCCATGCTCTCATTACCATGTTAAACCAACTGGATCTAAGTTTGTTTGCAACACCAAAATCAATACAGCACATCTTAATTTTTATTTTTACGTCCGCAGGGAAAGCCAGGGGAGCCAGGATTGGATGTGAGTATGGAAACCATGAATTATTCATGGTAGAAACACAAGTAACACACACATAACTTGAGATTGTTGGGAAAATATGTAGCTAACACTGTAGAGATTGCTCCCCCTTAAACACAATGCCTGTGGAATGATGGCTGTAAGAGATGGCTGAATTTAGGCCCATTGCTGGGCTACTTCCACTGCACAATGGAAGTGCTCACTTGAAGGTGCTGCCAGTGCTTCTCTTTCCAGCTGAGAATCTTTGTATTGGATTCAGTGACGTGAACATTTCTAGTAGCTGTAATGTTACTGGGGTGTGGTGAAGCACTCCAGCTTTTCCAAGAAATTGCTGACATACCAAGTCAGCAGGAAGAAAATGTCATTCTTCACTGGGGCAAGACAGGCTGATGGCTGGAGTTGGCTCATGTTGAACTGAGCCATTCACACACTAAACTTACAAAATCTTTTTTGTTTTTCCTTTTTTCCATCTAAAAATTGTGGTGACAGGGTTTCCCTGGTCTCAGAGGAGAGAAAGGAGAGAGAAGTGAAAGAGGCGAGAAGGTGAGTGGGGTATAGCTGTCCTGATGCTCATGGCAGGACAGGCTGCTTTTTGGCAGGCAGTGCTGCTTGCCCTGGGAGCCACTGCTGAAAGGCCTTCTGTCAGCCCAAGGATTTGCACATTCCCAGCACAGGGCAGGACAGGCAGTTAATTTCTACCCACTTGGAAGGGTTTCTGCAAGCCTGCCCCCAGCCCAGCCACTGTGGGGAAATGGAGCAGCCTGACAGCTCCAGGTTGCAAAGAATCACTGGTCTTGGTTTACAGACCTTGAAAATGGATCCAAATCAAAGGTTTTGTTACAGGGACCTTTAAACAAAGGGGATACCCAGGTGGAGCCAGGAGCCCAACTGAGCACAGGGCAGTAGCTGGAAGCTGCTGCTCCCTCTTGCTGTCAGATACCAACCTGGGTTCCAGCAGAAACTGCTCATTTAGTCAATCTACTATAAAATTATCTATTAGAATATTTCCACCCAGCTTTAACTGAAGATTTTCACAGAGATTTCACTACTCAGCTGGGGTCATGTTAGTGCAAGTGTCCTTACTCTGGGTGGGGTCTGGGACTCTGTGAGTGCTGTGAGACATGAAGTACTTCTTCTCTCTCCTTGCTCCTGTTATCTTCCTGTTGTGCTGACAGGGTGAACGAGGAATACCAGGGAGAAAAGGGGCCAAAGGACAGAAGGGGGAGCCAGGCCCTCCTGGACTGGATCAGCCTTGTCCCGTGGTACGTCTTTCATTTCATTTCACTCATCCTAAGCATGGGCTGCCAGGGCTGAAAAGGAGACACAGCTTTGCAGGCACAGCTTTGCAGCCAGGGAAAAGCAGGGAGGATTTGTGAGTTCTTTCTTTTGCAGTAAATCAGAGCAGATGGTTATTGTTTTCTCACTTTTTGTAATGGTTTATCTCCACTGCTGGAAGTTCACTGCTTACTGTAAGGGCTCCTCACTGGCCAGATGGGAGCAAGCCACAGCAGTAAAAATAAAGCATCTTTGTGTAAAGACCTTCTTATTGTAGTCAGGAACAATGGACCTCAGTAGAGCTCTTCAGGAGATAGCGTGATGCTTGCTTTTGAGCATATTTGAAATCAGGGAGCAACTGGGTGCAGGGGATGGGAGGAAATACAAAAACGAGGCCAGCCCCATCCCTTCATCCCTGCAAACCAAGCGAGGGATGAGCAGGGGGAGCATGTTGGGGTTGATAGATCACAGTTCTGCCAAGCATAAGTGAAATAGGAGCTGGAGCTCCCCAGGCTGCCAAGAAGTGCCCCTGGGAGAAGAGACCTCCCCTGGTTTCTGTGCCAGTGGCTCAGAGCTGTCCCTTCTCAGACACACCCCAGGCCACCGCTGTGCAGCACGTACCCACTGGGCTTTCCAGGAAACCTCCTGGGTGGAAGCTGCATCTCCCAAATCCACTTCCAGAACCTCTCATTCGTTAGATAGAGCCCACAAAAAGAAAATAACCTAGAGTGGTTTATAAGCAGTTATTTGATGTGGTAGAATTTACCTTCTTTTCACTACTGTTTTTCATATAATGGCTAAAACTAGAGAGATCCTTTCCCAGAAGTGCTTTGAAGCTGTGGGATGAGAAGTATCGAATATTGAACTGAAACTGCTTAAATGTAGCAGTTTAGAACTTAGTTCAGAGGCACCTAATTAAGAGTGCCAGCTGCTTGCTCCACAGTTCTAAAACCCATTTGTTCTCTGAACCTGTGACTTTTCCTCGTTCTCTGAGCACAGCTAGGGCTGCCAAGGCTGTTGTGTAGATCCACTATACCAGCAGTAAGCTCCTTTAGTCAATATGCTTTATTTTGCCTGAAGATCGAATGTGAACTGCAATTAATTTTTTCCCCTCTTGAAATGTTGGGTGATTTACCCTTTATCTCTTTAACTGCACTTTTACAAATATGAATCTGTGGTTTGTGTACAGATCTTTCCCAGATGACAGACTCTACATGTCATGTGAATTCCCTTCCATTAAACCACTCTGCTGACTCGCTGTGTCATCAGAAATGGAGCTGTGAAGCTCCAGACCCATCCTCCTCCCCCTGTGCTGAACCATGGGTGTCTATCTCTGCAACTCCGTGTCCTTTATCATTCTCAACAAGCAGTTATTTTTCCAAACAGGGAGATCCTAGCATTGCAGGCAGCAAAAGGTACCCAGGCTTGCCAGGCCTGGATGGGGTGAGCCTGCCCTGCCCTTTGGTACAATATCTGCTCTTTCTTGCATGGCTTGTGTGTGTTCCTGCTGTGGCTAAGCCCTGTCCTGAGGAGCAGACCCCTCCAGGGAGAGGAAAGACACAAGGCAGCAGAGCTGGAACAAGATGTTTCACTTCAGCATTTGGGGAAGAATGCCAATGTGTTGTGCCTTCTTCCCAGTCAAAATTACTTTAGATAAGGAGTGTAAATCATAGGAGATCACACAGGGGATGTCAGTCCCTTTATGGTAACAGATGCTCAAAATTAGTTATGGTTTCTCTCACTACCTATGGCCCAGTTTGGTTCCCCTTGTGCCTGTGCTGCTGCAGCCCTGTGAGTCCCATTCCCAGCTGGGATTTGAAAAGCTTTCCTCAAAGAACAGCCAGTCCTGCAGAGCAGGGCCACTGGCACTCTGTATCAGAAGGGTTTTGCTGTGTTAGCACAGAGCTCTGCCCAGAGCTTAGGCTGAGTCCAGTGGTTATGCAGGAAGGTTCATGGTCTGCTCCCCAAAAGGGCACCACTAGCTAAGAGAGGTCATTGTTTTATTTTCATTTTTTTAACCATAGAAAATGCTGCCTGTTAGATGATTTGCAGTTGTTCTCAGAGAAACAAATGGGCAGTAAGCTGTTACTCTTTCAAAAAGTTAAATTACTTTCAGATGTGTCCAAGAAACCAATTCCTAACAGCAGGCCTGCTCTAATTTAATATTTACTTCCCAGAGATGTTCTATTTCCCAAGCATCTCCCATCTTAACTATACAGAAAACACAAGATCTATCTCTGTTGAAGGCATTGTAAAGTGCAGTAGGTGATTCCTCCAATTAACTACAACATGACCAGTCAGTAAAGCACTTGTGCATCTTCCTGGTTAGCTGCAGGTTGGTTGGAATGTTGACTTTGTTCTGCAGCCCAGGGTGCAGTGGAGGCTTTCAGTCCAGGAGCATCAGCATGAGCCCCACACACAGCCATGAAGAGTCATTTTGGAGTCACTGAAGTGAAACATGGTAGAAAGGTGTGGAGTTTTATGATGGCCAAAATAAGTATTCTGAGTGCGCAAGGAGAAATAGCCCAGGGCAGAAATCAACCCCCTGACCATCAGTATTAGGCTGCACTTTAACACAGGTCAGGACATTTTAGGTCAAACAACCACTCTGCACCTTGTCCCCCATACCCATCACCCCCAGACAACTCTGGCAAATGTATGCATTTTACCTTTTTTTTTAATAGTTATGGACCAAAATATTGACTGTGTCTGCAGAAAAAAAGTGTGTTTTCTAACTAAGGTTAAAGGAAAGCATGACTTCTTACACTATGAGTAGCTGGAGAGGGTTACCTTACTTCACTGCATCTGTTTTATTGGGCATAGGCTATTTTACATATAAAATCAATACAGAATACAAAATATGTGATGACTAACATTTACAGTAAAAAATGTAAAATTGCATTTTGACCTGTATTTGCACTAGCAGTTCTCTCTGCTGCATCCACATCTTCCCACCCCTCATGAGTCTGGAGGTGGCTCTGAGGGAAGGGTCAGTGCTTGTGTGCTCTCTGTGGCTCTACATGCAGAAATTAATGTAATTGGAGATCCAAGAGCCTTAAAAAAATCCAGCATCAGGAAAGGCAGCTGAAGTCAGCTATTTCTTCTGAAGTGTCTTGAGATAGCTGGTCATACATAGCTCATTCCTCTTCTAAGGGGCTCCTTCCTTTCCAGTGTTCTTCTCCTGGTCAGTGAGAGCTCTTCTGGCTTTCTGATTTTTGTATGTTTCTTGTATCTCCAGTGGAACATGACAGATATTTTCACACCCTTTGCATTGTCCACAACTCATCCTATTCTTAGTTCAGCAACTCAAGATTTCTTAAAGAAACTAAGTACAGCAGGATCAAATTTAACACAATTAGGATACCATCTAGGAAAAAAATACCTATATCACCTCCCCCAAACAGAAAAGCACATTTTAACAAAAAATACATTCCCACATCATGCTTTCCATATATATGTCTGATTGCAAAAAACACTACCTTATAAAGCAGATTATGAAGTTAATGAACTGTGATTTCAAATCTTTGTACATGTTTTCTTTGTTTAAAGGAAAAAAAGTGTAATTTCCAATTTTTTTTTCTTTTTTTTTACCCTGAGGTGTATTTAATTTTGTGTTGTGCGTGACACATGGATGACATTGCCTGCATATTTCATTTTTGTGCATATACAGTAAATGGGTTTTGCATGGTAATTAACAGTGCTGCTAAGCCTTTCATTGTTGTGACAAATGAGCTTCAGGTTTTTGCGTCTGACATTTAAGTCACTGTCAGGAAAGCTGAATCTGTAAATTCAATTTTGCAGGGACCAGACGGACTGCCAGTAGCAGGATGTTGGCATAAGGTACAGTAACCTTAATAATATCCTTGAACAGTCCTGAGTAATTTTGCTTCCTGCATGGTTCCTGCATTGCACTGCTGCACATGCTTTAAGCAACAGCTCACAGGCCTGGCGGACATGACATTATGCCTTGGGAGAGCAGGATTCCAGCAGCTTCAGGTCTTGTTCCCCCCAGCTCTACACTGGTGCTGGGAACACCAAAAACTTTCTAAGCATGACAAATCATTGTTAACACTGTCAGCAAAATGCTTTTTTACAGGCTTGCTCAAGCTTTTATTATAGCCAGGGAAGCTTAGGAACCACCCATGGGAAGGCTGCACCATTTGCTAGTGGGACTTGCTCAGTCTATACCCTCCCAGCTGAGAAGTTACCAGCGGGTTGTTTCTTTGTTACAGAGTTCCACTCCTCTGCCACTGTAGTTATAACTCACAACCATTGCACTGCCTCAGTGCTCGGATCAGCACCCTGGGTGCAGGTGGCCAGGTATTTTTGTAGCATCTCCTGCAGGCGGAGCAGCTGGCTGGAAGCGCTCCTGGCAGCCTGGGAGAATGAGGAGAGAGATGTGGCCTCCTGTAAGATGAGGATGTGATCCAGACTTGTTGGAGAACCCTCATTCTCCAACAAGAGTATAACACTGAAGCTGAGTGGAATTACTAACCCAGCTGTAAGCATGTGCTGTGTGCACACAGCTGGAGTTACCAGCATGTCACTAACAGGTTGCAAACCCTCAGTTAGAATGCGAGCACACCCTTAGTATATTAAAGATTTTCATTCTGTGAGATTTGTTTGGCTGTACCATTAATATTAAAATAAATCTGAATGCCAATCCTTACAGTATTAACAATAAGGTTAGTGTGTAATGAATGGAGCATTTCTCTGATTAAAATGTTTGTTTGTGTGTTCTTTTTCAGTGATCTCTAAGCATGAAGCACAATATGTAAATACTGTGATATATTTTGATCTTTTAATTTTTGTATAAAAAAAGGAAAAAAAACACTTTTGACAGTAATATATTGACCTTTTTTTATACTGGATTCTGACATTTATGGGCTTGGAAAATAATGTAAAGCTCCCAAACCCATATCATTGCATGGTAACACCAGGATTTGCTAAAGGTACCGATGACAGTAGCTGGGGACAAACAGTGCTCACTGCTCATGCTGCAATGTGAACTAACAGTACTGAGCCAGCCTTGTGTGCCTTACTGCATGAAGGAGGGCAAAATCCCTGTCCTAATCTGGCTCTCAACTTCGTATTTGCATTGCACATGCACATTAAAAGGGTGAAAAAACCTGGCTGAAAACAAAGAAAAGAAGGATGCAGCCCTAAAAATGAAAGAAGCTGCTGCCTACTGTCTGATCAAACAGGAGAAGGATTTGCAACCTGCAGAGGAAACAAAGCCAAGCTCCATCCATCGCTACCTGCTGTGTGTGTGATGGAAACAGCAACTCTGGGGCTAAACAGAACAAACTTCACTGACTCTGGTTATTTCCTCTACAATCCTCAAGAGAAAGCACCTCTGGGTCCTGTTCTGGGGTCTGTGCCTGAAGATGTGCAAGCACTTTTTTACTGTGGAACACAAATTCCTCAGGAAGCCTCTACTGCAGAATTTCAAAACAGAAAAACCTGGTAATACTTTCAGTGCAGGGAGGTGCAGGACAGGGAAGGCTCTGTTTAAGTTCTTTTTTAAACAACAGAGCACATAAATTTGCTCTTGGGGTTCCCAAAAATTGGGAGTTTGAAGTATTAGTCTTGGTTTGTGGGGTTCATTTGCTTTTTATTTCTTCTTGGTTTACATGATTTTAACTGTAAACTAACTCTGCACTCTCGTCTTATTTCTCTTCACCTTTTCAGTCCCTTTTGTTAAATTTTCTCTTCTCAGGCACATCCCATGCAGAGCAGAGTAATGAACAGAATCATTATTATTTTGATATCTGCATATGCCACTGTGGGATCAATTAAAAATTGCAAACTATTCCACAGTTCACATTTTTTAAGATGTTGAAAAAATATCAATTGTGCAGCAGAGAGCCATTAAAAAATATTTCAAAGAGGAAGAAGATGGCTTACAGCTGAATCTGTTCAGCTTACAATGAAGATCAAGAGTCAACCAGATTCCTTTACAGGGAGGAGGTACTTTGTATTAACAAGTTTTAAAACTGGACAGGAAAAGATATACAAATATTCATTCAATGGGTAGAAGTTGAAGCCACACAAACTCAAAAAATAAGCTGTGGATTTTTATTGGTAAAACTGGTTAATCCTAACCAGACCAGTGATATAATTGCCATCACCTTAATGTCATTTTGATTTAACAGATCATGTCTGGAGGAAATACTTAGCTCAATACAAGTTGCTGGGTTCTGCATAGGAGTTTTAGGTGAAATTAAGAGCCTGACCATAGTATCAATCATGGTATTATGGCTCTTTGTGGCCTTGATCTTAGAGAATACAGAAGGGGGGCAGTTTTGGTGCACTGAGTAGATCCAAAACCTCTGTTAAGATCATTGCTTCATTGCCACTCTTACTGCAGCTATTGCCAGAGAAGGATTGAGAGAGGGATGTGACCATCCAGGTGCAACCTGCCCTGTACAGGCTGACCTAGTGCTGAAGGTCTTGCTCTGATATTCTGAAGAACAGTGGGAATGTGCTTTGTGCTCCACACAGGCAGGGTGATATCTGGTGTCTGTGAGTTCTCATCTGTGACCAGGCTTTGGGTGTCCTTGAGCTTATCCCCAGAGTAAGGGGGAGCCTGTGCTCTGTGCTGGTCAGTGCTGAAATGGCCACCAAGCTCGGGAGAGGTGACACAGCCTCAGGGCTGTAGGCAGTGGATTTGTTACCTGTTGTTGGCTGCTCAGGGGCTACTCCTACACATCACTGGCTTTGTGGCTGTACTTGGCATCTCTGCCAGTTACTCACCATTTCCTTGGTCACCATACAGATTAAATCCATGTTAAATTCAGATCAACTAACAAATCAAGAAACAACAATTATGTAACTCAAAACAGCAATGAAAATGCATTTTATTTACTTCCATTTCAGGTTCTCAGCTATCACTTTTGGTGTAGGGGTTTTTAAAGGCATAAGGAGCAGCTTACAAGCTTCCACTGGCCTTTAGTGCTTTTGAAAAACCCCTTTAATATCCCAAATTAAAGCTAAAAAATTTTCTGTGAAAGGTTGAAGGCAAATCTCTCATTGATGTTACCAGGAAGATCTGTAATTGTTCCCTTAATGTACAGTTGCCTTCCCATCTCCCCCAGTCATCTCCAAACTAAAATCAGTTCACTATTCCAAACCATGCTGTGGGCTTCTACACTCAAATTCCTGCACATGTCGTGTTCATGGAACTTCTTTCAATATCAATGAGAGTTCAGTCCCCAGAATGACTGCAGAAAGCACAAGAATCTGGAAGTGTCCACAAACAATCTACAATGCAGATAGAAAAGTCTTGTTTTACATATGCTGGCAAAAACTAAACAGCTTTCTATCTAGCTCCTACTTGAAGAAGTTTGATATCACTGAAGCTACAAGACAAGCTAACCTCCAAAGCTTATGAAATTATATTAAAATTTATATTTTCTCTGAGGAAATACCCCGAAGTCCTATTATCTTCAGGTAAACAAGTCAGTATTCCGTCTTCAACTTGTGGAATATCCAGTGCTTGTAGGCATCAACTGTGACCACTGCCAGGCCTGCAAAACATTGACACAGAATACCAGAATAGTGCTTTACCCTCTTACCGCTCTGCAAGGCTGCCATCCCCCTCCCAGCACAGAGCCTCTGCTGCCACAGCACCCAAGACATTTCTTTGTAATGGAGGAAGGCTGGAATGACCACTCGAGCACAGGAGTACAGCTGTATCCACCCCCAGCAGTGCTACACCTCAGCTACCAAATCTTTTTGTGATCCTCTTTGGAAATTCTCTGGCAAATGCCCTTGGTTCTGCATGTACAAAGATCATCTGTGCATGATGATTCCAGTCAGGAATGTTCAGGACACTGGACTCACTGCTCACGTGCAGTAGCTTCTCTGGACTCCTGCTGCTGCCACTCCCATCAGGAATGCTGGCAGGTACAGATCCTGCTGCACACTTGCCACTTTGGCTATGAGCAGTAGGTCTCCAAGGCCTGGGGATGGTACATCCACTCTACCAGCCCCTCATCATCAAAGGAGCAGAGACCTGTGGAGAACAGAGCTCCCGGGAGCAGATCTGGGAATGGATCCCCCAGCAGGGCTGGCACTGGCACTGCTGAGATTGGTGCATTTGGCCTTTAGATTCTGAACAGAGTGTACCTGGTTCCCTGCCCATGGCAGAGTTGGACCTAGGTGACCTTTAAAGACCGTTCCAAGCCCAGCCATTCTGTGATTATCAATCATATTATTCAGATCAACAGACTTTATGAGAGGACCTGTTGGGTTTTGTACTGATTACACAGAAATCTGTTTAGACTTCCACATGCCTTACACACAAATATATTTATAAGAATAGTTAAGTACAGAGCAGTCATGATCTTACTGCTTTGAGTTATAAAGATGTGCTTTGCTCTGCAAATTCATGACAGATCATGATTATTTTCTCCTTCCATATGAAAATATTTATCTGGGTCTTTATGAGTATTTTGACTTTGCGAATAGCTCATGAAGACAAATTCTACTTCTAGGTAGTACTGGCAGTCTTGCTCAAAACTCAATCATTATCTCAGCCTTACACAAAGTTTAGGGCGTTTTTGCCCCCCCCAAAGAAATCTCTCTTCTTTTGTTTTCCCCTCTGGTTTGAAAGAATCTGACACTGCTTTACAGCAATTCCAAAAAGCAGCTGAATGTTACCACTCTATGTCAGGAGCAATGAAGATGATTGGCAGAGAGGCTGCTAATGCTTACGAAATGTGGGTCAGTCTGTGACTGAGCCACTGATTTTTCTTGATCACTGAAATACCTGGTGTAACTTCATGGATTCATCAATAGACATTTTGAGTAACACAATGAAGTTAGTGATATTGGGAGAATCTGAAACTCAGGCAAATATATTTTTTGTTTTTTAGTTGACAAAACAAAATTCCTTCCTCTAATTTACCTTCTTATGAAAGCACAATACTTTCCCTGAGGTTAAGCCAACCATGACTGCTGCAGGAATAGAAGACACACAGCCTTCTTTAAGGCTTCTTCCATTTCAAACTGTAGCTAAAGACTATCACCACCAACATCCTCTCTCTTAACACACTGTAGCCCAGTTGGTTTTGGAAGCAAAGTTCCCAAACTGAATCATAAGGGTACAAGAACTCACTTGAGACCCCTAAAAGGTTTTTCAGCAAAAAAAAAGAAAAAGGCAGGCCTGCCATGCCATGAGACACAGCAAGTGCATTCCGTGACTGAGGCTGGAGCTGCTGCTGGCTGTGGTTGTGTCAGTGCTGGTGATGCTGCACCCAACTCTTATGGGGAGCGTTCCCCTAAAGCTTCTGGGTAGCATGGATTTGGGGAAGAAGAGAATAAGGAAAAAAAACCCATGTGGGAAACTCCATACCTTGACAGCTTGAAAGAAAACTTGCCAGAGCGTGAACCTGATAATTTGGCCTGTTCTGATGGGGATAAATGAGATTAATTAAGAGTTTTGCAGCTCAGTCATGGCTTGGCCAGTGAGTTCAGGAATATTTCTTTGGATTACAAAACAGGTGGCAGAGAAATCCTGATCTGACCCCAAACCAAACCTATTCCCAAGTGTCAATTCATCAGTATTTTAGTTTAAAAACATCATAATCAAGATATGGGGAGCCACCTCTCCTGTGTGCACTGCTTCTGACACTTCCTGTATATATAATGGTGATGAATTTATTTCTGTATGGATTTTTTTGTGTGTATTTAAAAATAAGAACATTTCTTTTAATGGTAGGCTACTTTCTGATGTGTTTTCTTTTTAGGAAACCAATAGATAAAATATTTAGATGAGCTTTTGTCTTCTGTAATTTCATAAATTCAGAATTTGAAATCCTTAAGCAAACCAGCAAAACACATAGGAGGTTTCAGCAGTTTAAGATATTCCATGCAGTGATGCAAATACATGGAAAATGACACCTGTGGCTGAGATTGTTATAGTAACCACTACCCTGGGTAAAATTTCGTTTTTGCACTCAGACAAATACAGCAGGCTCTTGGGTAAGAATGCAAGAACTCACACGTTGTAATGCACAATTGATTAAAATAAGTAATAAAAATTAATTAAACTATTAAGATGCCAGAAAGTTTCCAGCTTTATAATAATGGTAAATAACTCCCCTGGCCCGTCCATGTAATATGTGCACTGTAGGGGTGTTCCCCGGTCAGTGATTGCTGGTTCAATTCTGCCCTCTAGAGGAGATTTTTTTTTTAAGAGAAGCAGATATTATGCAAGTTTTATGCTGTGACAGTGTCTCTTAATTTACAGCAGACGTGATTTTTGTGTAACTTTATGGTTTGAATAGATATTTGTAAACCCAGGAGTGCATGGATAGAAACTTCATTTTATTTTCAAACCTGTTATTTCTTTCTTGGGAAATACCATTGTATTCTCATGTTTTTTCAGTCCCACTGTTGCCCAGATAATTTACAGTGTTACACAAATAAAATCTACCTATAGTAGGCCTTCTGACACATTTCTATTTTTAAAATGTTGAGCATGAAAGCTCTGAATTATTTCCTTTGTAGGCAACAGATTTCTCCTTAATATATGCAAAATATTAATAACTACAAATGATTATAAGGTATAAAAATTTAAATGTCCCCAAACCACTCATCCTGGAGATATAGTGCATGTATGTGGCTGAAATCAGATAAGTGAGTTTGGTTCAAATGTGCTCTAACAGAGGAAGGAGTTCCCTGCCCTCAGCAGTGTCCAGGGGTGGAAAGAACCTCAGTATTGCTTTGTTTGCCTTGAAACACCTGGTTTGTACCTGTTCAGGACAGCCTAACATGCTGAGCAGCACACTCAGCCTTGCAGAGGTTTAACCAGAAGATTTTTCAAGAGAGAAGTTACATATATGAATAATTTCCAAAGGCCTGTGACACTTTAACTTGCCAAGGCAATCACTGTGGCACACAATGAACCTGGCAACTTTACAGGACAGTGTTTATGTAAGCATATTTCTTGACTCTTTTGCAATGTTTAATTTATTTTTTTTTTAACAAAAAGGAGGGGGCAGAGAGAAACATCTGGTCACTCTAGTTAGTCCAGTCTCAGTGTCATTTACTGGAGTCACCTGCCTTTTAACTGTGTCCCTGGCACTGCACTGGACCTGGCCATAATTGGTTCAGTTTGAAATACTCCAGAGCCCAACTTGGAAATTGAAATCTATTGCAGACTGAAGCAAACCAGTGAGTAAAAAATCCATTTCCTGAACTTTATTTTCCCTGGTGGTCATTTATATTTGTAAGCTAAAAATTATTTTTAGTACTTTCACATCCCCAGGTGAACTACTGCAACTTTGCCATGTGCTTGTGTCCCATTAGATGGCACAACACAAAGAATGTGTGACTATTGTGTAACCTGCAGCAAAAATAAGTGCTGAAAATCTGTTAGATATGATAAGACAAAGGACTTAATAGATTACATTATTGTATACAACTGTGGAGCCTGGGGGAAACCACAGGAAGGCTGGGAAACACAAGTTTTCCATACATAAAAAGTTGAATTATTGATAAGAGAGCGGCATAAGAAGTACATTAGTAACATTTGTGGTATTCCTATGTCTTAGGACAAACAATTCCTGTTTTGTTAAATTCTGCTAGAAGTTGCCTTAAGTGTGGTTTCATGGAACAGTCAGCTCACTTCTGTGTCAGCTCACTTGTGTGGTTACTTACGTAACTTAGATATTAATGAACAGAAACCTAAAACAGAGGTGACCCAACTATGTGTAAATGACACTGATCCCATCTGCTGCTTTTTATTATAATGTCAAACACTGTATTTGAAAAGGTCATTTTACAGGAATTTATTAGGTGTAGGTGAGTGTTTATCAAACTTGTATTCTTGCACTTACATTAAAAAATAGAATCTGGTTTTGCAAAGCAAAAGCACCCATGATATCCACTGAGTTTTTGAATTTAGCAGGAAAGGTCATAAGCTGCCATCAGTGGCAAATGAGATCTGGAGCCTGTTGTGTTTGCTGGTTTGTTTCACAGAGTGCAGTTTTGTAAACAATTTCATAACAGCTTTTTGTGTTTCAATTTGAGTTTCCTTTTCTGCTATCTTAAAATAATAAAAAATACTGAATATGAAGAATGTTCAGCACAAATACCACAGACAAAACTGAAAGCCCCCTGCTTTGTTGCATTATGTGACTTTGGACATAGAAATAATACAAAACTGGTGTATAGATTAGCATTTGAGAAACTGCACTTGCTGGTATCTCAAATCTGTATACAGTTTAGAAAAATACATGCAACATGTGCCTCATCTGTCCGTATTTGTTTTGAAATTATGCCAATGGAGCTTAATCCTCTACCACATTAAGCAAGTGTCCCTTATTTATGTGAGCAGTTGCATCACTCCAGGGAGGCTGTTCAAAGGAGTAAGGATTGTTTGTGTGTTTGCAGTTTGCCAAAAATAAGTTTTGAATGTATTTACATGATATTTTATACAAAGCTGACTAAATCTCTGCGTATCACCTTTGAGAAGAAATATATAGATATTAAAATTATAGAAAATGTACTTAGCATCTCCATTTGCAAACTGTTTGTGGTTTTTGATCATGTATGTGCCACGAAAAATATTCTATTTACTCTTCTTTGGGGAACAACTACTTTAAAAATGAAGGCAATAACAGTATTTCTTATCCATTGTTTTAACATGTTAAAATTGTATTAATTAGTACTGCATCATGTATTTCTAGTTTAAAGCTGTAATGGACAATACATTACCTTGAGACCTAAAAAACCTTTTTTTTCTTGTGCTTTTTTTAATAAAAGCAAAGACTAGATTTTTTAGAATGGTCTCTCTGTACAGGTTTACTTTTACAATTGTGTGAATATGTATAATGAACTCTGCATTTGTAACCAAGAGTAAACTTTACAAATTGTAAATGTTCAGGTTGTTATTATAAATAGCTAGTAAATATCTTAACCAGACAAGAGTTCAAATAAAGATTAACAGCCATTATTAAATTTTTCTCCACTGTCTTTTGTTACTTAAAGCCTGACCTGTATGAAACAATGGAGTTAGACTAAATACAATCTAAGTACATAGCAATTTAGTTTTGCATTCTCCATATTGCACAAAATTTAAATTCCTGTCTTTATCAAGTAATTGCAGCTAGAGATAATTATTGGTTGCTATATCTAGTCAGCTAAGTCTGCCAAGTGTAGTTTTAAATTTATCTGTTCCGTTTTTCTAGAGTTTTAAGAGCAGTTTGTCATTTTAAACCAAAAGAATGTGAATGTGTAGTATTTGGAAGGAAAAAAAATACGTCATTTTCTAGAATCAAGTTGGGCAAGTCGATGAACCCAACTGGTTATGGGATACAACACCTGCGGTAGCAGAACTCAATCCATCACACAACCTCCCTTCTGGTTATCTTCCTATTTTTCTTTAGGTAATTCCAGTCAACCAGGAATAGAAGATCATTCTAATCTGATTGACAGCATTTCCTCTTTTAATCCTAACTATTACCTACTTGGCTCTGAAGGAGTCAGTCAGGTGTCTGCTTTTATCTGCCACCAACCAAACACACGGGTACAACATGTGAAAGTCTGGGTTTACTTCTGCTTAAACAATGAAGTATATGGAAGAGTTATTCCAGTTCTACCACCTTGGCTACCCGGTGAAATTATTTTCTACTGTAAATGAGACTTCCTTGATGTGTATTTCAAACGAAGAGTGCTATAGCTGTACTAATGATCCTGAAGAGCCTGTTCCTCCCTCCGAGGTGAGTGGGGCGTGGGGCTGGAAGCACCCGAGCAGTGTGAACCCCCGGGGTGTCTGTTTTAAGGCTGAGCTGCCAGCAGCCCCGCAGGGCCCCAGGCCCGCAGCCTGTCCCGATGTGTCCCCACTGCTGCCTGCGGGGAAGCGCCGTCGTCCCGCCGAGTCCTCGGCCGAGCTCCTGCCCCTGCGCTGCCGCCCCTCCCCTCGCGGCCCGGCCCCCGCGGGAGGCGGCCGCTCCCTTCCTCCCTCCCTCCTTTCGTTCCTTCCTCCCTTCCTTCCCCCTCGCTCGGCCCGCTGGGGCCCGGGGGCGGCTCCGCGGCCATGCGGGCGGCACAGCCGCGCTCCCGGCAGCAGACGCTGGCCCTGCGGCGGCAGCTCGTAGGGTGAGTGCTGCGGGCGGGCGGCGCGGGGCCGGGGCCGGGGCCGGGGCCGGGGCCGGGCGGGCAATGCCGCCTGACGTGGCGGGAGCGGGGCCGAGCCCGCGGGCCCCGCCCGGCGGCACCGCCATCGCGCCCGGGCTGAAACCAGCGCCGGAGCGCCGCGCTCGCACAACACGGTGCGCTGCTGTAATTAACAGGAATTAGCTTTTCTTAAGGAGGGGGATTACGGAACCGCACTATAAAACCCGTATGATACCGAGGCTGGCTGTTTACAGAGTCTGAACTGCTAAGAAAGCGTTTTCTGTGAGCCCGGCGCAGGCATGGCTGGGGCTGGAGGCAGTGCTGGCCAGGCGAGGTTCAGGCTCACCTACCATTATAGCCCGTCTTTCAGGAAACTAATTGTATCAAAACCGTGATGGAATTAACAACAAATGTCTGTTCTCTTTGACAGAATGAGGGACAAGACTCAGTTCTAAACTTCCAATTACTAGTAGTGTTTCAACCAACCTAAAAAAAGTTTTAATTCTGTAGACCACTACCAAGAATGGCAACACAACTCTTTTATTCAACGGTGGGAATTTTTTCATATAATTTATAGTCAAAGCCAAGGCTACCTTTACGTGTTGTGTAAATACAAAAGTTGGACTGAAAGTAAATGCTGAAACAGAATTATGCCAGTTACACACACCTGAAAAAATACTAAACTGGATATTAAGTATTTTTGTAACTGATTTGCCCTACCACTGGCAACAAAGACCCAGCCTCTGCAAGCACATTTTTAGCATCTTTTGAAAGTTAGGAGAAGCTTACAGAAACCCCCAACTGTTTTGCCAGCTCACACAGAAAGTATCAAGATTCCTGTTGGGGAGGGATAGTGAAGGACTTTCTTACTTCACTATTGTCCTTTGTCATCCATTTGACAATGGCTTTGTATTTATCATCAAATTATTTCTGTATAAGCCATCTTTTACTAAATGAAGTATTGAGGTTTGGCACTGCCCTTCAGAGTCAAATCTCTGCAACTCCTACTAAGGCAGATGTGTTTCCATTTTACTTGTTTGGCAATTAATTTAAAAAGAGACAAAACATATGCACTAAAGTAAACCCAGCCTTATAAAAATCACTCAAGTGTTCTAGCTATGGTTAGTGAAGCTGTAACAATGACCTTCAGCAAATATCTGGAAAATCAGGACGTTGGCAGGAATAGCAAGAACATGGTAAGAATAATAAAAAGAACATAGCACAAGGTAAGAGACACAAAACAAGAAAAAGGGTAGACAGCACAGACAGTAAGGAACTGCAGTTAAGACAGGATTAAACTATAGAGGCAAGTCCTACTGCTGTGGCTAGATCCTAGAGTAGGATTTTCAGGTTTGGAGTGTGCCTTTTCCTGTAAATCTAAGAAAATTTGAATACAAGGCCTTTAGGGGCCAAAAGCAGGATGACTCTGCCAGCAAACAGGAGAAATGTATTTTACCAGCAGGATAAACTAAATGCACTAAGATTTATTTTGCTTTCTGATGTTTGTCATAGCTCTTCTTGCAAGCTGTTTTTTTCTAATGATCCACTGAAGATTGTGAAGGCAAAAGGCCAGTATATGTATGATGAGAATGGGAGACAATACCTTGACTGCATAAACAATGTTGCTCACGGTAAGTTAAAGTCATGGTATGGGATGTTATTTGATGCTGTGGTTTTTTAAGCAGAACAAAGAACAATCAGTACTTTTACTACAGTTGCACTGTGCTGGGGGAAAGGATGTTCAATTAGAAAAGTGGAAGGAAACTTTCTTGAGTGTGTAGTTTGGGAAATTACAGTTTTTTTGAACTTATCCTTTCCACACTTCCTTCCTGTCCTGTCTTCCTAGAAATGTGTCTAAAACGTAGTTTTTTTCCATGGAAACTCAAGCACCTCAGTGTAAAACTAACAAATGGCATTTTAATGCTTTTGTAAAAGTTACTGTTAAGTGTACAGTCATAGAACCACTGCTCAGCACAGTGCCTTAATTGTTTATAACTGACTGCTGCTTTCTTACAGATCTGAAATCTCTCTAACCTAATCTTACCAGAGCTAGTAATTCTTTGATACTAAAGCTTATCTGCACCTTCCCAAATTCCTGAACTATATAAATGCCTAAATCCAAGCATCAAATCAGACATTTGTTTTAGCGTATCAATTTCCAGTACTACAAACCTTAAATACAGTAGAAGGCAACTTCAAACTTTCTGAGGAGCACAAAAATGTTTTTACAAGATGTACCATTATTAAGACCCTACTGATAATGATCTGTGTACTATTAGAGAAATAGAAGTGTTAAGCTGTTGTGCGAATGAATAATATGAAGTAATATGAAGAACTCTCAAACCACTCTCCACATTCTCTTGCAGTTGGGCACTGTCACCCTGATGTAGTAAAGGCAGCCTATGAACAGAATCAGTTGTTAAATACAAATTCTCGTTACCTTCATGACAACTTGGTTGATTATGCAGATAGACTTTCAAAAACCCTGCCTGAGAAATTATGCATCTTCTATTTTTTGAATTCTGGGTAAGTTGTGTATGTTAGAATTGATACTGGGGCTTTACTAGGTATATGCAGACAAGTACACGCTTTCTGTTGGCAGACCAATTTCTGTCTGGTGTGGATGACTAGATACTGACAAAAACATGGGTTTGGTTCTGCAAGCTCTCTACCTAAACTTGTGCTTTATTTAAGAATGGTTTTACTCTATTTTTAAGACCTTGGACCACAAAATATTAATGTAAATATCTGCTGTATTAGTTTCCTGACTGATTTATCTTCTGACTTGACAGTTATTCACAAAATTAAATATACCAGTGCATTACTTCTGCTGGGGGTGTGTGTATGTATGTGTATAACTCCTAAGCTTCATCTGGAAGAAGAGAAAAAAAAAGCCAAACTGTTCCTGAAGTAGTCCCTGTACTCTATGTATTTTTAAGATTCTATTCTGGTGAACAGTCCTACCGAGTGAGTGCCGATTATTAAGGAATTTGTGCATAACATGCATTGAGTTCTGTCTGTTCTCTGCAGACACAAGGAGCAGTGCAAGGGAGGTTAGATTTCAAAACTCAAGATATCCACAATGAAACAATTATTGAATTTTTCCATTGTAGATCTGAAGCCAACGACCTTGCCCTGAGATTGGCACGGCAGTACACAAAACATGAGGATGTTATTGTTTTAGACCAGTGAGTATATTGGCAATTTGGGGGTACAAGGCTCAATTTTGATCAGAGCATTTTTGAAATCCTCCTGCAGTAGCAAGACTGTAACCAGGAAGCTGAGGGAAGTAATTTTTCCCTCGGTTCAATATTTGCCAGCCCAACCCCGAGAGCTGTGGTTGGGTTCTCCAGTACTTGACAGCTGTTGGAAGGAGGCCAGCAGTGGCCTGCCACAATGGGAAGGGAGCCACGGTAGTGAGAGGTACTGGATTTGTTCAGCTGCAGGAGACAGATCTCACTGCAACTACAACTGTCTCATGGGAAGGAGCAAAAAAGATGGGATGCAGGTGTGAAGATGTATGGTGACAGGAAAAAAAGACCTCAGTTCGAACTTGAGGAATTTTGATGAGACATAGAAAAAAAGTCTTTTGCCATGAAGGGAGTCAGATATTAGAACAGTATGCCTACAGTCACTGGAAACTCCATTGTTGGAGGGTATTTAGAAATAGGCCCTTCCCATTGTTCTGCAATCTTGTGATACTGCCCAGGTGTTCCCTGCTGTGATTCCAATCATTGGTGCAGGCAAACCAGTGGTAAGTCCTGTCCCTCTGCATCCCTAACATTTAAAAAAAAAAAAAAAATCCAAATAGTACTAAGCTTACTGATAAGAAAAGAAATCGCAGAGCTGTTCTCAGCTTAAGTTACTGAATTTCCTACCAGGTGATAGCAACTGGCTACTCTTTACTATTCGGAATGCTAATATACTAAAGAACACTTGATACTGAGAAAATTACTGTTTAGTTCTGCCAATTGTTTTTTAAGTGCTTACCATGGACATCTGACATCTTTGATTGACATAAGCCCATATAAATTCAGAAATCTAGAAGGACAAAAGGAATGGGTCCACGTGGTATGTACTTCAGCCTATACCTATTACTTGTCAATTGAGTGAAGATGTTTGTATGATGTATTGAGTATAGGATACTGTTCCTTTGCATAGGCTCCTGTTCCAGACACATACAGGGGACTTTACAGAGAAGACCATGAAGATTCAGTAACAGCCTATGCTGATGAAGTAAAAAATATTATTGAGCATGCACATAAGAGAGGCAGAAAGGTAAAACATCATTTCCTTAAGTGTTTGTCTTGTCTTAGAAAAGAATGTACCTTTCAGTGCAATTTAGTTACTAAGCTAAGTGGTATGGACTTGTCAAAAAGAAAAGATCACATTAATAATCAAAAACCATCTGAGGTCAAAGAGCTTGCTCCACAACTCTGTATTGTGTTCAAACATTATATGCTGTGTTTCAGATTGCTGCATTTTTCATTGAATCTCTACCAAGTGTGGGTGGTCAAATCATTCCCCCAGCAGGTTATTTTCAGAAGGTTGCAGGGTAAGTGGTCATTCATTGTCTTTAACTTAACGTATTTGGTAAATAGATAATTTCTCTGCCTGCTGTAGCATAGAGCTTGAGAGGCTGGAAATTACCCATGCCTTCATGTTAGAATGTGAACCTTATATATGGCAAAGACCTGCTTATAAACACACAGCATACAATATAGGCTTGTACATGTTTGTTTCCTCAAAGTTTGCAACGTAACACTTTCTGCACGTTCCTAAACAGTAAATGCTGTGTTCTTTTTCCTTTTTAGAGACAATCAAATCTGTTATGTTACAGGCATGTGCACAAGGCAGGAGGCGTATTTATTGCTGATGAAATTCAAGTTGGCTTTGGCAGGGTTGGCAAGCACTTTTGGGCATTCCAGCTTCAGGGAGAAGATTTTATACCTGATATTGTCACTATGGGGAAACCGATAGGAAACGGGCATCCGCTTGCTTGTGTAGCAACAACAAAGGAAATTGCAGCAGCATTTGCAGCCACAGGAGTGGAGTATTTTAATACAGTAAGTAAACAGTTGCCCACTTCTGTAAGAGTCTAAGGATTAAAAGTAGATACTCATGCTGTGTTTTTATTAGTATTTACTACACAGTAACTAAAGAGGAACTGTATTTACTGTACTATTTCTACGTTTCTAGTGCGTGACTCCATATATTGGCTCTGATAAGTGATAGTATGCTCCTTGTATCACTCAGGCTACACTTTCAGTGACATGATTACATCTTTCTTCCCTTTCTATGGCTCTGTGTCTTCCTTTCCTGGGCTCAGTTTGGTGGGAACCCCGTTTCATGTGCCACTGGATTAGCTGTGTTAGATGTGATTGAGAAGGAACACCTTCAGGCTCATGCCACAGAGGTAGGCAATTTCTTGATGAAGCTACTCAAGGACCAGCAAATCAAGCATCCCATCATTGGTGATGTCAGGTATCAGTACCTTATTTACATTTTTTGCTTTCTGTTTGGTTCCGTCAGTCCAACAGTTCAATCCAACAAATTTTGATAAATTTTTTGATAAATTAAATTTTGTTTTCAGCAAAAATAAAGAGCCTCCTGTACAATTAAGAAAGACAAACTTGAGCTTATGTGAAGTCTCATATACTTTGCCACTCTGCACCAGTACTGTTTTATCAATTTATTAGCTGCTAAAGGAATTCACTTTCCTGTTTGAACTCAAAAGTTTAAAATGCACAGGGTACAGAAGTGATGAGCTAGATGGAAAGCATGCTTAAAGATCCTGTCCTGTGCTGCCAGTGTGAGCAGACGGAAGCCTACATTACTACATTTCTTCAGCAAAACCTCTTTTCTAGCAGTAGCCAAACATCAGGCAATTCTCATGCAGTAAAGGTCTGGCCTTAAAAAAAACTCAATTTTTTAGTTCATTTGTGAGTCCTTCCTCTGACGCAGACTGTTTTTATTTCTTTTACAGGGGTTGTGGCTTATTCATTGGAGTGGACTTAATCAAGGACCAGGCAGAAAGGACTCCAGCCACAGCAGAAGCAGAAGATTTAATAAAAAGGTACATGGCACAGTTTTGTGAGTTCCTCAACATGGGAGGCAAGCACACAATGACAGACTACCCTTGCCACTCAGGAGTTGCTAAAATACAACCAAACTGGCCAAAACTGAAACCAGTCAATGTAGAAAGGCACTCACTGTGTGACAGCCTGTGGGCTGGTGCTTGGAAGTTTTTCTGAACTACATGCAGAGGTGAACAATTCTTTATTATTGCTCTTTCCAGACTTAAGGAAAAATATATTTTACTGAGTACAGATGGGCCAGGAAGAAATGTGCTGAAATTCAAACCCCCGATGTGTTTTAACATGGAAGATGCGAAATTTCTTGTGGAGACAATTGACAAAATACTAACAGGTAAAAGAATTATCAAAACCTTCAAAAATAGAGGGTGGTTTCTGAACTTTCTTGAAGACAATGCCGAGTTACTGAGCCTGATTTTCAGAAATGCTAGAGTGGAGCCAAGATGGTAAATGCTGAGCACACAACACAGCCTTCCCTTCTCAATTATTTTGTGCTGAAGTCTTCTAACAAAACTACATCCTCTACAGATGCATGTACCTTTTAAAATAGCTTTTCTCTCACCCAGGTTTGAATGTTTAGCTTATCTGAACAAGCATAATTTGTAAAAGATGTCTGCATGTTCCTGAAAGCCATAACATACGTACTTTTGCCACTTAGCTTTTTATACAACTTCTACACACATAGCATTAAGAAAGTTAGTATAAAAAATGTCACAAAGTCATGGGTTTTCTAAGTTGTTGCTTATTCTCTCTCCAGATATGGAAAAAGAATGTTTGAACCATTAGAAAACACCAGTTTGTTCTACCTGAGCAGGTATTTACCTATAGTCACCCAGTACTACTTAAAAGCCAAGGTTCCTAAACAGAACTTCACAAGCTCTGTCAGAATAAAGCTTCCTCAGAGATGCTTGTACTCAAAATTTGCAGGAATTTCTGGGAATCTACAAGCACGGACAGTTATGTACATCCAGCATTCACAACTACCTCCCATCTGACACAGCAACACTGTGTGCATCACTTGTTTGTGAGGGCCAACATGTCCCAGACATGACTGTCTCTAGAGCATGCAAATGACTGCGCAACCACACAAACAGAGCTTTTCTGCTTGCTGCTCAGTGCCTTCAGGCTCCAGCCAGAAGCTGGTCCAGCTGCTCAACCACTTCTCAGCAGATCTCCCCTCAAGAGTCATTTCAGGTTCACAGTTGGTATCTCATTTTTCAGAATCCATTCACCCCTAGACTCAAAAGTTTGTGGGTATCAGAGAAAGACTGGTCCTGTTAAGTCTTCAAAGTCTTGTTATGTCTTCATCTGTTGAGGTCCCTCAATATGTTGCCAAGAAAACATCTAGCTGCAACTCAAGTTTGCTGCACACTCATGAGCACAGTGTACACAACACCCTTTGGTACACTTAGTACATCTTCAAACTAGTCTAAAAGACAACCACATGTTTAGTAGAACTCAGGATAGGTGGGCAGGAAATGGACCTAAGGTGATCACTGTGAGCAGTGTAATCATTTAGTGGCCTCAACCACCATGAGATTCACAGTGCTGTGGCCCTGAGCTAAGGAGAAACAGGTTTTTTAGTTCAGTGTAATATTAGTATAGCAGGCACAAGAAAAATGTGTTAATATTTTATTTAGCAAGTTAATGGAAAGACATACAGCTGTTTATATTACTTACTTTTAGGAACAGAAAGAATACTTAACAGTGCCAGTGCAAATTAGTGGCCTAATGATTTAATGTGCTTGTCTGTAATCTAAAACTAAGCAAGAAAAATGCCTTTATTTTCTACAGGAAACCAAGAATGCAAAGCCTCTTACTTAGTACAGTACTAGTAAGACACTTACATATAATGTAAGCGAAAATGAGGCAATGAAGTAATTTCTTTTAATGATACTTTTACAAAAACCCCGTAACATTTATTTTCTTTCCATAGGTTTCAAACAATGTTCAAGGTCTACTACTAAGAAACATTATTCTACTATAATAATGCACATTTAATCTTCATCTAGTATGTCTTAGACCAGATAAGTCACCTTTGATTTTTCTGTTTTTGCTTATCTTGTTTTTAGTAAAAGCTCTAGGAGAAATAAATTTTACAAGAGCTTGTCTCAACTCTGGAAGTGTGGAATTGGCTTTTATTTAAAACATCATATCTAAACCAATTATAAAGGAGGATCTTTCTAGTGGCCACTACAAAATACATTTTCTAAATTGATGCACTTTCAGGTTATGACTTTTTCAAATTAGGATGAGCTGATGGGTGTTCTGATATTTTTAAGTCTTCAGCTACCTACGCAAATACCATTCCAGGTGCCAGTACACCCAGTCCTTCCCAGGCTCCTCTAGCCAGTTTCAGCAGCCAGTGGCAGAACAAGGTCCCTAAGATGCACTATTCTCAACAGACACACTCAGCCACCAGGTTAAGTCAAAACTTCAGTTCCGAATTCCTAACATCAAACACATGAGGGACAGACAGCTGAGGGATATGGCTCCCAAACCACTTCTTACAAACACAGTCTGTCCTTGAGAAATACCCAAGTAGGATTAGTAAATTAAGAGTAGATTACAGCTATAAGCAACAACCTTGTATACAAGCCTTTACTTTCACCAGGCGGTTCTTTGTATTACAAACTTTTCATGCAAAGAAGAAAGTGAAAAGCCAGCTCTGCATTTAAGTACCAGTATCCTCAGTTTCTGCCTAAGGCCACATCACCTGGTAAGGAAGAATTACCTGACCACCTACTTACAAAAACCACCACAATAACACCAGCTGACAAACTCTTGCTAGGACACACTACTAGCCAGAAGGACTGCAGCACAACGGTCCTGGTACCATGCAATTTTCCCACTGGAGGGCCAAGTGTTTGCTAGAAAAATATTCTGCTACCCCTTATTTCACAGAAAAAAAATACTTTAAGTATGTATTAAAGTATTTAAATCTTGAGACATTAATACTTTTAAATACTGTACTCATTTGTTTCAGTGATCTGCTGGTTTTTTATGTGCAAGTAAGTTGGGCTGGAGGTTACATAGTCCAGCTGAAAAGATACAAAATCTGATTATTTTATTTTTTTTTAATACTCAAGACTTCCACTTAACACTAGAAGCATCTTACAGACTTGTAAATTTACAAGCAAGTTTTTCAAGAACAGCCAGCAGGGAGCAGCAGATTTTAGTCCACGCAGAAATACCTGCATACCTTGTTAAAAAAAAAAAAACAAACTGGAAAGGTCACTAGAGTAACATGTGTTTGTTTCGTTTCTTAGTTACTTGGTTTGGTTCCACTTCTGGGTGTTACTTGTTCAAAGAGAATTTGTTACAAGAAAAAAAAATTGCCATATTTTAGCTTTAAAAGGAGATTAGAAATTAAATTGATCACTGCAACAAAGATTAGAAGTTTACTTTGTGCAGTAGAGCTTGCTGCTTATATTCTGCAACAAGACAGGCAAATCACATGACAGTTATTGCCTTAAAATAGCAGTAAACTAACAGTACAGTCAAAAACAGAGTATTTCTAGCTGGTCACTCATCTCTAGAGAAAGAGATGTTTTTTTTCCACCCACAACTGCAGTGGAAGTTCTTAGCCTTTTCTGTTATACAAAAAAGACTGCAAAAATTCAGACTTTGCATTGGTAATTTAATGTCTGTCCAACCTGCTTTTCAAGGCAGGTATATACATCCTATTAACCTGCAGACAAGTCTCAGACTCAAGACAGTGAAATATGAAGGAAGTGCAGCCAGCTTCTTGCACACCTCTTGGCTCCCTCCTGCAATGCTGTCCAGACTCCCAAGCCCTACCTAAAACCTACAGCTCTGGCTCCCCCAAGCAGAGCCCAAAGCAGACACCACTACAGTTAGCTCTGAGCCTCTGTGCTTGCCTAGAGCATGAGCCACCACCACACCAGCACAGCCCCACCACAGCTGGGGCTTTTCACCTGAGCTCTCCTCCACAACCTCCAGGCAGAAGTGACAGCAGGTTTTAACTGCCACTTAACTGCAAGTGAGCACAACTACCAACACAGCCTTCTAGTTTTAAGATTAAAAACATTTAAGCACAATTCTTAATCTATCAAGGTACTGCCATGAACTAAGTTCTGGGAACAGGATACTGGTGTTTTACTAACACATGAGCTGAAGAATGGCACAAGACACTAGATTACGCCTTTTTTATTTCAAAAGCTAGGATAGCTTCAATATCCATGTCATGGTGAATCAGAACACATGTAAAATACCTTACAATACATTAGATTCCAAAAAGGTACCAAAAAGTACAGTAAAATTAACACTTCCTTACAGGAAATGTATGACACAAAAACAATACAAAATAAAAAGGTGGAAAGTGACACTGGTTCCCTAAGATGCATCTCATTCTGTACAACTGGAGTAATGCAGAGTCCATAGTTAACTCCAAGAGGCAGTCCCTAGATGCAGAGCTGCAGCTTTAAGCAGACCCTCAAAATCAGTTTCAGTTTAACCTATTAATAAAATCATTAATTAATATCTTCAGCAACGCTGAAATTTACACACCACACTGTCTAGACAACTAGTTATTGGTAAGTATTAAACATGTAAAACATTTCCAGGGAGCTCTTCCAAGTAAGATGCACATTTAACAGGCCATAGAAATTTATTGTAAAGTTAAATTTGGTACAGAACTGAAGTATCCATCTACAGCATTGTATACAAAACCTATGCAGTCATTTTCCAAAAGAGACCATGCCACTGCATACCTGAATAAGTTTGATCAATATGGCTTGTAGTTATTCTGATGACCACCACGTCTTGGTGTCTTCCCATAATTTGCACTGCCTTGACCTATGAACAAGAGAACAAATGCATTAAACTGCTAATTAGTTATGCTTGCTTATACCCAATACAGTTCTCTTTACTTACTGTAATCATAGCCTGGTCCATATCCATAATACCCATATCCTGAATAATCATAGCCTCCATAGCCACCATAACCTTGCTGATAGCCGTATCCTTGATTCCCATAACCCTGGTTCCAGTAATTGCCATAACCTTGATTCCAATTTTGACTTTGAGCTATAGAAGGGAAAACCATCCACAAAATCCCATTTTAGTACACACAACTTATTTAGAATGTGTCCATACTAAAGTAGTGTGTGTGGTACTTACCGCCGCCTCTTCCACCTCTGCCTCTTCCTCCATAGCTACCTCTTCCTCCACCACTACTGAACTGTTGCTGCTGGTACACTTCTTTCGGCTGTGCTACCTTAATCTCACACTGCAAATAAAAACAAGGAAGAGTATGTAAAGTGTCTCAAAGCAGTGTTGCCCAACCTGAGTACCTGGAGAAGCCAGAGGTTACTCTGGAGGCAAAGGAGGTGTACTTGCTGTGCTTCTGGTCAGGTGAGCAGCACTAATTCATATCCAGGGGCATCTAATTTATTGTGCCACCTGGGCAAAGTTAATTCACTGTCAGCTTTTCCAAGAGGCCACTGCTTTCAGGGCATTTTATCTTGCCTATTCCCTACCATCAATTTCACCATGGAAAGAGGTGCTGAGGCCACCTCTCCTATAGGAGCCACAAGGCTGCCCTCTCACCTGGCACAACCTCAAAGACACAAGGCTGTTGCTATCAGACTGCTTCACCTGACCGGCACTGAATGAACAAGGTTCTGAGAAATGCCAAAAACCAGAACGAGTTTTCCTGACAGCCACTGTACACCCCTATACAGTGTCTGTGGACAGACTGTACCATACATCCCTACCAATGCCTGGAATCACCATGTATCAAATACTAACTGGTAAAACCAACCAGAACTGACATTTCCAAGACAGGTTCCCAGGCTACAGTTCAAGCTGTCAGCCAACCACCAAGTTCCTGGATCTGTGCACAGTCCAAGATTAAAGCTACTTCTGCTGCAAAAGGAACAAGAGCACCTGAACAAGTCTGGCTTGGAGTTCTTCACCACAGGAACTTTTAAGGTAATCTGCTTTAATTATCTATGGCTATAACACAAAAACATGTCATAAATATGACACAGAAATTTCTCTGCTGTCTTGGCATTTAGGCATTCATCGCTCTTGAAAACGAACTTCACTGCTAACCAGTGACTTTCCACTGCATTAAGTTTGCCAAAATTTGGTCTGTATTGTGTCAAGACCAGTCTTAAACCAAATGCAATCCAAGTCAGTATCAGACAGTACAACCCAGTGTATTAGGGCTCTGAAGTTATGTGGCCAGCACTGGCATCAGAGCAAGGAAACAGGGACACCTCCAGCCAGCAAACGTCATTTGCCTCCAGTCTCTCTACATTTGTTGATCCATGAGCCTCCCTCCTCATGGATCCCATCCTCAGATGAGCAGTCAGCTGCTCAGAGCATCTCACACCATCCTCATCCTTACAGTAGTTCCCATAACCAACTGGCCAGGCACAAGCTTCCGTAAGTGTACATTCACTCCCTGGATCCTTGTAGTGGGTTTACACGACAAGGTTTCAGTAGCAGGGAGGCTTCAGAGAGAAGAAAGCTGAAGCTGCCCCCCAGCAGAGAGGCAGTTTCAGCCAGATGCTTGCAAAGTTAAGCATCTGCAAGGCTTTCATTTATGCAAGTGATCTATGCTGAAAATAGGCATCTACCTGTTGGAAAGGCTTACACTGCTACATAAGCAAATTTCTCCACATATATTTAATGAATGCAATTACATACTTTACATACAAAAGAGCCTTGTTAGCCTCTGTGACAGAACTCAGCAGCAAAACACCGCTACGGTAAACCTCAAGCTGTCCTTATTGTAAATTTGGTACTCTGACACAAGAGGTCTACAAAAGCCTTTTCAGGTTATAGATGTAGAGGTATTATCTTTGAACAGAGTTACAAGTCAGAGTTTCTACCTTGCTTCCACTGACGTTATGGAATTTCTTCTCCAAAACCTTCTTCACTGGATCCTCTTCCTTGAAAGTGATGAACACAAACCCCCTCCTTTTGTTGGTCTTTGGATCCATTGGCAGTTCAATTGCTTCAATCTGAAGATATGAAATACTATTTTCAGACTCATGTTTAGATGAACAGAAATGCACAGAAATTGGGACAGCAAACCTGTAAATTTTCTCTCTATGCATATTATGCAACACCAAAGTTGCAAG